TGGGCTTGCTCTTGTTTTGGGTGGTTGGTTGGTTGTATGCTGGGACGACAGAGATTACTAGACTACGTGTCATCCAAGGTCAGACTTACTTGGAGTACAGAGCCCTCAGCAGAAGCCCTTGCTTTCTTCCTGTTTTCTATGTCTACTGCAAACTCTAGTCTAACGTCTTATCGTTTTGGGGAGATAGTCATCTTCTAGCCTTCTTCCTTGTTTCGTGAAAACAAGACTCTATCTTAATCCTCTTTGCATTCTGAGCAGACAGCACAAAATAGTTGAATGAATACATAACTACAGCCCACCTGGGGGAACTATGTCACATCATATCTTCGCTTACTAATCCTTTCATTTTCACCTTTATGTGCTCCCTACTTTGCGAAGTCTATTTGACCTCTTGAACTTTGAGAAGTTTGGAGATGGTTTTGGTGTTGATTTATAAGAAATGTCAAAGAGTAAAATTTTATATTGAGGCATTGTAGTTCATCTAACTTTCTCTGTTTTCTTAAATGACTTCTTTAAATGTCTAAAGTGGCATTGAGAGGCCGTGGATAGTTTTTCTAATGGTATTCGTCAAACACGGAAAGTTTGGTTACTTAGCTTTACGTACATTTATGGGGTGAGTGTGTAACTGCTGACTGGTGAGAAGATAGTGTCTGCGGTCTCAGCCCACCTCCATTTGTAAACGTATTGCTCTACAGAATGGGATGTTTTTCCATGACAAAGTTCTTGTCTTTTCCTTTCTATTTTTAATTTAACTGTGCTCTGCAGAAAAGACAGATAAAACACAAAATTCCAAAAGGCAGCACTTGCACACACATTTCACTGCTTTTACCCACTCTGTTTTATTTTCTAGCTTGCTTTTTTGGACCTATTAAATGAATAATGATTAACTCTAGCTGGTTTCCTTACACTTTATGTAAGTGACAGTTTAGAGTTTATGGAGAGTTGAAATAGCATCATGCAGTGAAGTGTGCAGTGTGGCGTGATGGGGAGGAAAAAAACCCCAAACACCTCTCATCTGGGCCTGAGGAAAACTAAATTCTAATCCTGCCTTTGATATGACTTACTGGTGACCTTGGAACGATTTAACTTCTCTTTGGCTCAGGCAGCTGAGCTTGATAATCTTGAAGGTTTCTCTCCAATTCTGAAATAATATACTGTTTCTATTAAGTGTATATCTTTCTGGGATTTACTAATAAACATTAAAGATGAGCACAAATGTTTCGGATGAAAGAAATGGATACACTAATTAGGATATTTAATACCTACAAGGTTAATAACGTGCACTGGGTGTATAGAAAAGGTACACTTTGGATTCATTTTGAAATAGATGTTTATCAAGGAGGCAAGGGGGAAGGATTAGCAGGATTGAGGTGTGCAAAATTACAGAGGTGAAAGTGGGTGTGAAATGCACGATGATTTCTCCAACTAGCTTGGTGTGGCTAGAGAGTGGGCTGTTTCGATAGCGTTTCCATTATGATAAGCTCGCGGTGCATTTGATGGCTGTAACGTAAACTCTACCTCCAAAGACTGTCCACAGGTTTCCCAGTATTTTCCTGCTTCACAGTATTAGGAAATTCTGTTTTCTCTTCAGGGTTCATTTTGTATGAAAATTCCACAAAAAGGACTATTCTGCTCCTTCTCTCAGGGGTGCACCATCTCATGCCACCCCCGTCGTATGTACATGCACATCTTCTCCCTGGTGATGGCTTTAGGGCAAAGAAAGCACGGTGACGCTTCTCATAGGATTGCTTTTGGTAGGAGTGTTGTGAACCTAGAAAGAAGGGTCTTTTTGTCAGTCTGAAAGTTCTTGTGTCATTTAAATTGCAGTAGCCACATGAGGCTAGTGGCTCCTGTATTGGCTAGCTCTGGTCTAGATCTTGTCTGTCTTCCCTTGTTGACAGTTACTCGTTACATGCCCTCTATGTTAGGGTGCTGAACAGTCTCCTCTTCCTAGAAGAAATACCTTTCTGAGTCTACTTCCTTCCTCCCTGGCTCTCACTTTATCTTCCCCTCCAAGCTTCTCTGAAGTCCTTGGACAAAGGACTTCTTAAAGAATTCTCTGCCCTGGCTTCTGGGACACGTGGTTTGCTTCCAGCCTGTTGCTTTGGGCTTCTTCATGGCTTTCTAAACATTGATGTCCCCTACTTTAATAACATTGGCCCACCATCTTCTTTTATTTTTTAGTAGGCCCACCCTTCTCTTTATTCATGCTCTTTTCAATACTTGGGGTGTACCCCAAATCTGTCTGTCTGCCTCTGACTACTTCTCTGCTCTTCAGCTCTGTGCCTCTCAACATCTGTTCATGCCACCATCAACTAGACCACCTGTGGTGGTACCTGACACATCTTGTCAGGAAATACACATTAAATGGTTTTCTGTTGGCTCATATGTAAGCTATAAATGTGTACCATTATTTCCAAGTTTAGTGTAGCTTATGTATCTCTATTACTCTAATACATATTTTAAAGTCTGATCTTTTATACTTTTAAGAAATTTGTGTGGTCACACATTCAAGTATTTTTCGAGGGTAATCGAGAGCAGTGTGGCCAAAACATACAAGGAAGGCAAAGTCTCTGTCTTCATGGGTTTTCAGTGTGCAGAAGAAGACTTTTAAATGAGTGACTGTAATGCTGTGGGGTGGTGTGTTATGAGAGAGGAAATATGAAAGCGTGGAGAAGAGAACCCAGCCGTGGGAGCCCAGGCGAGGCCTGTCAGGGGAGGCCTCAGAATGATGTTTAAGCCAAGAAGTGAAGGAGTGGGTAGGAATAGCTAGGCTAAAATGGATAAGAGAGGAGCATCAGAATTCACTGCATTTGAATGGAATTAGTGTTCCATTTGAGTTAACAGAGGAGAATTCATTTGAAGTTCGTAGAACATGAAAGTAATTCCAGACCTAGGAAATGATGTCAGATTTGCTTTTTGGCTTTAAATTGAATTGGTAGTATGGATGTGGGTCCATCCTTATTAGCAGTCTGGTATGCTGTAAGTAAAATGTAAAGTGCGGAATTTTATTTGCTAATGGATATTTATTTATTTGCTAACAGAATTTTAATGGGTATCTCTATGCAATGAATCATTATGCTCTATAGGAGCTGAATTCTAATTTTCTATGAATATTCCAAACTGTTGCCCCATGTGATGATGTTACTATTGATGACAACTTTTTTTTTCCCCTGAGGAAGATTTGCCCTGAGCTAATATCCATGCCAGTCTTCCTCTATTTTGAGTATGTGGGCTGCCAGCACAGCATGGCCACTAACAGAGCGGCATAGGTCCATGCCCAGGAACCCAGGCCACCAAAGCAGAGCACCGTGACCATAACCATTGGGCCACTGGGGCTAGCCTGAGGGGAACTTTTTGATGGACACATTAGGACAATTAGTTGGGACCAGTTACCGTGATTTCCTGTCATACAGTCATGCGCCACATAATGATGTTTCAGTCAGTGTCGGACCACGTATAGGTGATGGTCCTATGAGATTAGTACCATATAGCCCAGGTGTGTAGACAGTTTTACCATCTGGTGTTGTGTAAGTGCACCCTATGATGGTTACACAATGACGAAATCGCCCAGCGACACATTTCTCAGAACGTATCCCTGTCGTTAAGTGATGCATGACTGTGCTTGACGTACTTAAGACCGCAGTCAGAAGGGGGTGGTAAACTTTTGATTGGGAAAAAAAAAAAAGGATTAACTTTAAAAGGTTTTTTCACTAATGAAAATCAAGTTTGTGCCACGTTAAGCAACATTTTCACACCATTAAGCATTCTGAAGCATTTTCCTTAAACCTCTTTTAATCTATAAGTATGGTTTGGGAAAAACCGCCGGATCCAGTTACGGTATAGTCTTTCGTTGTTCTTATTAAAAAGAGAGCGTTGCATCATTGAATTGTGGGAAGATAATGTTGATTTAGATGCTTAGTGACTGTTTAAGAAAAAAAAGTACTTCCAATTAAATGAAAACACAAACCTTTCATTTACAAGTTTAGAGAAACAGTTTGAATAGCCTTTAATTGGTAGTTTTGTGAAATTACTTAGGATAATAGGAGAAAATCACTGACAGTGATAAAGTCTATTCTTAAATATGAATTATTTGACGTTTTTCCCTGTGGGAAAACAAGAGAAAGCTGGGCAGGAGAAAGATCAGCCCTGGCAATTGTCTTGCCACATAAGGCAGATCCGATGTCAGATCCACTCACTGGGCACCTGTCTGTTATCAGCACAGGTTCTAGAGGATGTTTTTGTGGTTGGAGGAATTTTGTTTGTATCTTTGGTGAAGTACATGAATATATTTAATCAATGTTAATGGTTTACTAGGTTCCAACAATATGTTGACATTTAGCAGACAGTCATTAAAGTTCTAGAGGGAGACTGAAACTATAGATATTCTAGTTTGATAGAAAAATCAAAGAAATAAAGAATATAGGACTTCTTTGAAGAATCATTTATTTTCTTCTTTTATTAGAAATTAAATGATTCTTATTTGAGCAACATTATCTGGAAAATCATGTTAGTTTTTATAACAGGTCTTCATTTTTGAGGGTCGATGAGTCAAAGGTAATAAATCATAGTCAACATTGTATTTTCCAATGGTTCTTTTTAATGTAGCTATGGAAGTGATTTCTGTCAGTTATTAATCATCTCTGCCACACTTAAAGGAGATACAGATGAGCATGAAATCCTGGATAACCTATCTCACTTTTTAAAACTTTTCCAACAAAATGTATATTGAAACTACTAAACAAATAGAAAATGTAACTCATTTGAGTTTTTCTACTTCATTAATACTGTCATTGATCGAGTGGATTTAAGAACCATTAAAAGGAGAAAGGATAAAGTATGTTATTTGTAAAGAAAATAATTGCCTGTATTAAGCATTTTTTTCTGTCAGAGTAAATTAAAAGTTCGCTGAGACTTTTACGCTCAGAGTGTGGTTTCAATTACAGTACTTTGTAATGGACTTTATTTGTGAGGATTAATGAACTGTTATCATTTTATAGGTCTCATCACAACCACATCCCGGAAACTCGACCGAGAGCAGCAAGATGAACACATATTAGAAGTAAGCGTTTCTTTATTTTTAATTATTTTTAAAATATTGTCAGTCTCATGGCAAGGGGCAATCTTGTACATGTTAACTAGTATTCATCGCTAATGTTCATGGTTCTAACTATTTTGTTATGTCAGCTTCAGGTCATTAATAAAAAGAAAGCTGAAGAAATCATTGTGAACATAGTTCATGTCCGTCTTATGCCCTCTTCCTGTCCACGGGATACGCGACCATTATCATAAGTTCTGTTCTAATTTTTGTACTTTACGCATGCACACACACACCAAACGAAACTGAAAACCATATTATTTGAATTTCATCTTCATTTACATAAGTGATATTTTTCTCTATGCCTCCTGTATCTTTTTCCTCAGTATTATGTTTTTGAGATATATTTATGTTAATATTAACAGATCTTATTCAGCCTTTTTGACTGTAGTTAGCTTGTTTCCAGGTTTTTTTTTTTGCTCTTAAACAGTTGCATTGTTTATGTATTTTAAATGGAATTATATAAAGTTTGTGCTTTTTACAAATTTCTAAAATAACAGTAGATTGACGTCTGACACGTGCTCGTCTGAGATATTCTCTTCTCATAAGGCTCCTCATTCTCGTGGTTAATTTAAAATGCCTTCTAGACCTTGGAAGAGGAGACACAGCTTGTCATTTGCTGGTCGCCTAGTTTCTAGTGGACAGTAAATATGTCGTGGGGAAAGGGATAGGAGTAATTTGGAGGAAGAAGGTAGAGTGTAATGTGGCCTCGGGCCTGCCGAGGCTGCTGGCTGCCATCGCCTGCAAACCAGGACGAGGCTGAGAGAAAAGGCAGCCAGTGCAGAGGGAAGACGGAGCAGAACAAACCTGTGACTCCTGTTGACATTTCTCTGTCACATGTTAAAGGCCAGTGGTGACTATTAGAGCCAGAACTGGAAAAAGCCAAGTGCTTTTATTTCATTGTGAATTATCCACACCACTCTCCTATTCTAGAAGTATGGGCAACTGAGAAAATTCAAAACTGTGATTTTTCTTTTTTTTTTTTAGTTCTCTCTTTTTATACCATTGCTGTTCATAATACTGTCTACTTAATTTCATTTCATCCTTGGTCAGAATTTTCTAACTTTGTCAGTGAAATATTTAGTTCTTTAGCTATATAGTATGTGTGCACGCGCATGCGCATGTACATGTACGCACATGTACACCTGTCCTATCCAGAAAAAGTGGTTTCATAGCCACAATTACAGTTAGTAATTTCTTCATGTGTTATATCTACGGGTTTAGTCCTAAGTTGCAAAATTCCCCTGAATCCATTTTCTTGATGATGGAGCAGAGTTTTGAATTTTTGTTGAGTTACGACGGGGATTGACAGAAGGGGGAATATGGTTCCTGAAGAAAATAGACAGATGGCAAAACATCCAGAGCAGCAGGTTGCACACATTGGCAGCCTGCCCCCCTCCCCTCACCCTAGCTAGCCCGGCACCGCACACCCATTACGGCATACCTCTCTCCAGAGCCCTCTGTTCTCAGTGAGTGTCAAAGTCTGCATGGGAGCAGGTGTAAGACGCTTAGGACTTTGGAGATAATATTAAGACATTGATAGGATATAAGAGTGTGTAATTGTTTACATATCTTGTATTTTTTTTGTAGACCTTTTGTGGGGGTCTTTTCGAGGGCCAGTGCTGGCATTGATTGGACTGTCTTAAAGAAGAGAGTGGTTTTCCTCACATGTTAAAAGCTGTGTTACTGGCTCCTGGTTCTTGGACCCAAACTTAGGATCAACTTGGTGATGAATATTAAAAAGCATAGCGTTGGTTCTGTTTCTTTTATGTTTTTCCTAAAGATCATATAAAAAACTGAAAAGGAAATGTTTTGAGAGGTTAAAATTAAACTAGTAATTTTTATTTTGAGAGTTGGGGAATCCTGTACTTTAAGTAAATCAACTACTTTACTTAAATACTCTTGACAAGTTCCTTCAGGACACATTCCCACTGTTATCACTAACAGGATTTATACCTACCTTCTTCAAAAGGAAAAGAGTTCCGCAGAAAACGTCAGCCCACTGTAATGCTTGTAGTATTGCAGTAGTTAATTTGGGAGAATGTGGGTGAGGGGAGAGTAACTATTACTAAGGTCATTACTTTTCATGTCCACACTGGAGTAAAAAGGGACATTTGATCTAGGATGAAATTGCCTCTTATGCATATAGAAGCGTTCAACGGGGCAGTCCTTTAGAATCTCTGATCTTTATTGCTAAATTGAATACATGAGTAATTTACTTAGAATGAAAGTAATTTTATATATTTTTGACTGAAAATCTTATTTAATAAGTTGGTCTTAAATTTAAATGTTTATGTCCACCATACTCAACATGGAAAACCTCTGTACAAGAAAAGAGCCAAACAAAATAAAATGATTACCGGTAGATTAAATGGCATGCTACTTAACATAGATTTTAAATTGATGAGTTAGCTTATTTTATTGATGAAACTTAAAAACGAGTTTTTTAATACAGTGTGTGGAGATTTTATTTTAAAGTATATAGAGTGTATATTATTTTATTTTATTTTTTTAAATATTTTATTTTTTTCCTTTTTCTCCCCAAAGCCCCCCAGTACATAGTTGTGTATTCTTCGCTGTGGGTTCTTCTAGTTGCGGCATGTGGGACGCTGCCTCAGCATGGTTTGATGAGCAGTGCCATGTCCGCGCCCAGGATTCGAACCAACGAAACACTGGGCCGCTTGCAGCGGAGCGCGCGAACTTAACCACTCGGCCATGGGGCCAGCCCCTAGGGTGTATATTATTTTGAAGAGGACTTGAAATATTTAAAAGCAAAATCTTCATGTACCTCTTCCTTTTAAAAAGATTAAGTTTTTGATAGCTTAGCATTTTGATGACGTTCACGTTACAGTTACAGTGGGGTGAGGAAGAGAGCTGGTGTGAGGAGAGAGCAGGGCTCACAGCCAAGTCTTTCTCAGCCCTCGCCCCCCTCCCTGAGTCCCTATGTGAAAATGTGGTGGTTGCCTCTGCACAGGGCTGTTGTCAGAATGAAAGGAGAAGGTATGGGCCATAATCTTGTGGGAACTGTACAGGTTCATACAAATGCTCATTATCATTATTAGGAAGAAGATCGTCACTTTTTATATACTATGATTTAAAAACATTTGTTGATCTGTTACATTGCAAAAACAGGTAACTGTAACAGACAATGGTAGTCCTCCCAAATCAACCATTGCAAGAGTAATTGTGAAAATCCTGGATGAAAATGACAACAAACCTCAGTTCCTGCAAAAGTTCTACAAAATCAGACTCCCAGAGCGGGAAAAACCAGAACGAGAAAGAAACGCCAGGCGCGAGCCACTCTACCGTGTTATCGCCACAGACAAAGATGAAGGTCCCAATGCAGAAATCTCCTATAGCATCGAAGATGGAAATGAGCATGGCAAATTTTTTATTGAGCCCAAAACTGGAGTGGTTTCCTCCAAGAAGTTTTCTGGAGCTGGAGAATATGATATTCTTTCGGTGAGTGAAGATTCTGGTCTTTGAATTTCTTATATACTTTGACTATTAATCTAGTCGTATGTCTCTTCTCTTATAACTTTTCAGTAAATAGCCTCAGTATTCATGACCTAACAGTGGGAAGTATGAGTTTGCTTTTCCCTTTCCAACTGTCAGTCCAGTTAGTATTCATGTTGAGTGTCACTCTTGAAGAGGTCACTCTTTTTATCAAGCATTAAACATGTAGAATATACAAATACAGATATGAAATATTTGAGATTGATTCAGTTTAAGACCAAACCAATCCATGCTTCAGTTATGGGGCATCCTTTCTAATTGGCTGTTTTTATTCCCTCTGCCTATATTTTATAGATTAAAGCAGTTGATAATGGTCGCCCCCAAAAGTCATCAACCACTCGACTCCATATTGAGTGGATCTCCAAACCCACACCATCCCTGGAGCCAATTTCGTTTGAAGAATCGTTTTTCACCTTTACTGTCATGGAGAGCGATCCAGTTGCTCACATGATTGGTGTCCTGTCTGTCGAGCCTCCTGGCATACCTCTTTGGTTTGACATCATTGGTAAGCATGCCTCCTAGTTCTCATTGTGCTTGTATAGGTCACACCGAGGAGAACCTGTCTACGGTTTCCTGATTTTGTGCATATCTCAGATTTTAAAATTGGAAGGAAGAACTATAAGTGGAGACTTTCTGTAAAACTGCAGTATTTTGACTGCAAAATTTTTCATACTATCTAACGTATATTAAACTTGTTTAAAATAAGTGCTCTGGGGCTGGCCCAGTGGTGCAGCGGTTAAGTTCACATGCTCTGCTCCTGTGGCCCAGGGTTCACAGGTTCAGATCCCAGGTGTGGACCTGCACATTACTCATCAAGCCATGCTGTAGCAGTGTCCCACATACAAAGTGGAGGAAGATTGGCACAGATGTTAGCTCAGTGGCAATCTTCCTCACACAAAAAGAAGATTGGCTACACATGTTAGCTCAGGGCCTATCTTCCTCACCACAAAACAGACAAACAAACAAAAAGGTACTCTATGTTACCATATCATTAATATAAAAATAATGTTTTTAAAAGTGCATCAAGGAGCTACAGAGAAATCTAAATGTTTTGGTCCAGAAGCACAGCTTCTTAGTTTTTCCTTCCTGATATGTAACACATGGCATGTTACTATTTTTAGTGAATGTGGTTTGAATGGTTAAAATAACTATGCCTATGTGACTGTCGCATGTCAGTATTTTGTAGGGAATAAGCTTACAAATTTCACTTGTATAACTTAAAAACGATAGTGCCAACTATGACTTTTTAAGTTTTATTTACCTTATTTTCAATAGGAAGCAGGGTTTGCTAGATTAAATCATCCTGTGATAAAAATTACATGCCTAAGCTGATTCTTCTTGTTCCATTTTTTTTTGTCATTGAATTTAGCTTAGACATGGAATGTGATACCTTATTCTCCAACATACTTAAAAAAAATTTGCAGAGCCAGCCCTGTGCTGTAGTGGTTAAGTTCTCATGCTCTGCTTCAGTGGCCTGGGGTTTGCACGTTTGGATCTTGACTGGCACCGCTAATCAAGCCACACTGTGGCAGCATCCCACATAAAATAGAGGAAGATTGGCACAGATGTTAGGTCGGGGTCAATCTTCCTCACACACAGACACAAAAAATTATGTCAGACTTTGACATCTTAGCTTGTTTTATTCTATTCACACTATTTTAATTATAAGGATATTGAAGATCAAAAGTATGTATCGTGATTCATCACTGGTTCTGTCAACTTCGTATTCCTTTTCCCTTGTCCACCCCTTAGCCACCCTACCCCCAAGTGCTGTGTCAGCAGGTTGAAGCTGATGGCACGTAGGCTACAGGGACCGCCGGCTGCAATTGGTACACGCATTACCCCTTGAACTTGCACCCTAGACAGGCCATTCTCCCAAATTTGGTCGTTATACGAAACTGTTGATGTCTTCAACATCTGTGTTTAGTTTTAGGAATAAAAAAAGATTATTTTCCTAGCTAACTACAGTCAGGATAGTTGCTTTGCGTTCTGTTAACTCCTGTTGCATTTCAGATGAGCAGGCTGCTGCTGGCCAGTGTGTCCTTCACCGGTTAATTCTGACTGCGTTTGGAACCAGTTTGATTGATGGCTCTCCCTTGTTCTGTGCTTGCCTTCCATGCTTGCTTGCTTCCTTTTGGCTGTGCCAGGAGACACACTTGCTAGAGAAGTGTTTTACATCTTTCAGATGACTTGTGACCTGAACTGTACAGCAGAAGGTATCTGCTGAGATCGCATAATTTGCCTCAGATTATGAGATCTAAAATGAAAGCATCAATTTTTACAAGTTTTTTGTTTCCAGTGACTGTCTTTCATTGCTTTTCCTTTTCGTGGTGTGCACGTGGTCCCCCATTCCAGTTGCAAGCATAATCTTTTTCATACATCCCCAGATCTTTGGTTTTAGGTTTAACTAAACACTGTTTTCTGTGTGCATTTTTTGTTTTCTGGGTAGATTTAGTAATAGAAGTTCATCATGATATTAAGCCTTTGTTTTCATTCCATTTCAATTCATTGATATAAGTATCTCAAGGTCAGTGGAGTTGAAAAGAGAGTTTTATGGAGAATATAATTGAATGCATTTGGATAATGTTAGTAGCACAGAAACTTTTGCCTCATTAAGCTTTTTGTGTTTGACAACAATGGGAAAAAATTTCACACAGTGTGTGAGAGTCAGGACTAACTGATGTTAACTAGCACTATTATTTTCGAAGTTAACATTTGTTTTTAGTAGTTATTTTATTAGGGCTGTATGTTCAAAGTGTCACAAAAAATTTTTGTGAGTAAACTTTTAAATGGCCAATTTTGGTTCCTAAATGATGTCTTAGATAGCTCCTGAGATATAAATGAAAGAGAAATTCGGAACCCTTGAAAAAGCAAATTGAAAGTAATTCATTGGCAATGTTGACAGTGTTTTTCTGTTTTCAGCGTTGCTTTCTTGCTTCCTCTCAGTTGGTGGCTTCCTTGACAATTATGGCTCAACTTTGCCTTAATCAGCATTGTCTTTCGAATTGCCCCTTCTTTTCTTGTCTTGCAAAATGGAAGCTCCTTGGAATCACCTTGGTCCAATATATCAGAAGGTTTTCTGTTGTTTTTTTAAATGCCATTAAGAGTTAGAAAGCCACAAAATAAATGACAGATTTTCATCCTTTCATCTGTTTTTACTTTTCTATTTGTCCTACTTTAAACTAGGTGGCAACTATGAGAGTCACTTTGATGTGGACAAGGGCACCGGAACCATCATTGTTGCCAAACCTCTTGATGCAGAACAGAAATCAAACTACAACCTCACAGTCGAGGCTACAGATGGAACCACCACTATTCTCACTCAGGTGAGTGAGTGACTAATGATGTATTTGTTGGAGGAGGACTGACGTGACATTCCGATGCTGCTGCAAATCCCGATTTAGGTTTTGCATGTAATTAACAAGTTTTGAAAATTTTGAAAGAAGACTATGAAAAAAACACAACATGTTATGCCATCAAAATCTTTTAATTTTGTACTCATTTTGAACTTCATTAGTATCAAGTGTATCACTGTTGAGGATGAATTGTCCAAATCATTTTCATTAAAGCTGGTTAAAGGGATTAATTATCTTTTAAATCACTTTTTCCAGATTTTTTTCCCCCTTGGCTACCTTAACTAGGGCTGTGTAAAATAACTGATACAATTGTTCTAATAATTGCTTTAACATCTTTGTTTGTTCCTATCTGATGATTAAGAGATGGCCAGATTGTTGGGATTTGAACTTTAAATGTTAAACCTCTATAAATTAAATTTGGATTCTCTTCTTTCTTATTAATTCTCTTTGATTCTCAGTGTGGGCTGTTTGAGAATTTGTTGAACACCTGTTAGGTGCCAGGTATTGTTCCAGAAGCTGAACAGAGGAAAGAAAATCCTGGCCTCTTGGAGCCCACATTAGAATGGCGGAAGCTAAAAGCTTATGTATAATCTGCTATATCTGAAAAGTGAAAGGAAGAAATGAAATTTTAGAGAATAAAATACTTCTGAAGTCCACTTTTCTGGCTTTAGATTATACTGTTTTAAATCTTCACTGAGACAGATGGTCTGCTCATCATTTTCATTGAAGAATAAAAAATCTCTGTCTTTTCAGCGCATAAACAAATAGATAATTTAAAGCCAGTTGCGAAAAGACCTTATTCCTTTCTCCAAATGCTTGTGATTTTTATTGTATTTAGAAGTGATGAATGTACCATGCTTTGGGGTCATTTTGAGATTGTCATGTGAAAGTTCTAGTACAGTATTAAAATTTCCATTTTGTCGGTAACTGTTGTCATTGGAGAAGCTAGACTTTAGAGCATGAAAACGAGAATGAAAACATCAAGAATTGTAATAAATTTAACAGGGTAATTCTGAAATGTTTAAAGACTATAAGTGTCTGTAGACCAGTTCAAATAATCCACTAACCAGAAATCTAGGAAAAGGAAATAATGAATAGAAATGGCCCTCTGTGCCAAGTGTTCTCATTACTAAAGATGATGTATCTACCTGTAGCATTTATCACTTATTACAGAAGTCAATAATCAGCAATGTACCCCTTCCTCAATAACTGTAGTTTTATACGGTTAAAAGTTTAGTATGAAATACAGTGTAGATTGACTAAAATTCCTATAAAACTCAGGAAATATATTCTAGTCTTCCTTTCTCAGGGGTACAGAATATCTTAAATTCAATGCCTCGTTTATACTTCTGTAAATTATTTTTTTGGGTCTTTACAGAGGGTCTTGATAATATCCTAATGAATTGCTTGCAGAGAGAGACAGAGAATGGTTACAGAGCATGGGGTGACCTGTTAAGATGTGGGACAAAGGGAACATGGGTAATTAGGTTTCACTTTCCAGGCTGGGGTGAGAACAGAGAGGGAGTAATCTGGGTGGGAGCAGAGCAGCAGATACCACCTGAAGAGAGACTCTGAGATCAGAACCCGGTTGATAGGGCCCTGGAACACAGCAGGGTGGATTCAGGTTTGTAGGTAACACTGAGGAACCATCAGAGCAGGTTTTGCTGCATCGAGGTTGGCAGTCACAGCAGATGCTGTGTTTGCAGTTTGGAGAGCATTGTCGCAGAAGCCAAGGTACACCCTCCACAGAGATGGGCAGTGGCAGGGTCATCATGTAAGTGCCAGTGCTGTGTCGAAACAGTTCGTCTTGCCTTCCTGTCCTGCTGTTTTCAGCTGAGGCTGCTGACCGGTATGAATTCAAGTCCCTTTCCTTTATCTGGTGTCTCAAGATAACTTACAAATCCAGTGAACATTGTTTTCTTGGAAACAGCTTTGCTTTCATGTCTTCCTTCTGTTCCTCTCGAGCATCAGCATCTCATACTCTGGAGCGGGCCCTTGGGTTTGAATCTCTGCTCTGCCTCTTACCGCTGTCTGTGGGCAAGTGGCTGTAACCCACTGTGCTGCTTCCATTTTCTCATCTGGAAAAGGGACACAGTGATTTTGCCCTCTTGGGGTGCTCCTGAGGGTGAAGTGAGATAACATACAGGTGCTTGCTCCTGAAGCCCTCTGAGGCTGTCACCCAGCGAGCGCTCACAAAGCGTTTGCTGCTGCCCATCAGCACTGGTTTGGGCTCTCATCCGCCCCTCCTTGACACTTGCGTCACCTTATTGTCTCCGTTCTCTATCCCTGCAATTCGTTGTGCCCGGCCTGCTACCAGAATGGTGTGCCAGTTGGGAAGAGGAGCACAGGTGCATTTCTGCTGATCGACAGGTTCCAAGCGTCTAGGACGTGTAGTTCTCCAGCCTCTGCTCGGGAGTCAAGGCTGCATATTCGATCCCACGTGCTCCCTGCTCCTTTACTTAATATCCTCTAGTTCTAAGTCCTGCCCTCAAGTCTCTAGGAGATAGGATGTTCGATGCCACCCCTTGGCTTCCTGTCCTTGATGAGCTCTTCCCACTACCCCAACATACGTTCATCTGCTAACCTCAGACCTACGCAGGCAAAGCCTTACCTAATGCTTCAAAAGCCTTCTGAACATCCCAGACCATCTCAGGGCTCCTAAAACCTTGCTTGTCATTGTGTGAAGCCTCATTAGGCTTTTGCATGTGTGAGACATTGCCCGATGGGGTAGAATGCATCCTGAGGAACGGGGGCTGTCATACACCTGTTTTCACCCTCAGTCATATGTAGGCAAGTGCTGAGCACGTGAGTGCCTAATGATATGTTTCAGTTGAATTGCCTTGTCAGAAATGGTTGCTTTCACTCTGACTATCCCCATTTAGTTGTGGTTAATCTTGGAGCAGGATTAAACTGTCTCTCCCCAACTTCTGTCACACTCCATGAGAAAATATTTGTAAATTTATAGTGAAAATGAATATATAATCTAACTTATAGAAATTAGGTTTATAGCCATCCCTTCTGGATCATCATTGACCTTTCAGTGAGGCATCTATAATTTTAGATTTTTATTTTATTTTTTTCCTTTTTCTCCCCAAAGCCCCCCGGTACATAGTTGTATATTCTTAGTTGTGGGTTCTTCTAGTTGTGGCATGTGGGACGCCACCTCAGCGTGGCTCGATGAGCGGTGCCATGTCCGCGCCCAGGATTCGAACCAATGAAACCCTGGGCCACCTGCAGCAGAACGCACGAATTTAACCACTCCTCCATGGGGCTGGCCCCCATCTGTGGTTTTAAATGTTTACATAACTTTCACATAAAACCATTTTGTGGTTTGGGGAATGCATTTTGTGTTCCTGTAAAGTTTACTGTTACAAATCCATCACTGATGTGTTAGTGTCCTGTGAGAACACTGGTGTAGTCTTCATGGAAAGGCCTCTAGGGGCCAGCCCAGTGGTGCAGTGGTTAAGTTTGTGCTCTCTGCTTGTGCACCCCAGGGTTCGCAGGTTCAGATCCCAGGCACAGACCTAGCACCACTCGTCAAGCCATGCTGTGGTGGCGTCCTACATGGAATGTAGAGGGAGATTGGCACAGATGTTAGCTCAGTGACAATCTTTCTCAAGCAAAAAGAGGAAGATGGGCAACAGATGTTAGCTCAGGGCCAGTCTTGCCCACACACAAAAAAGAAAGTCTTCTAGTTCATAAGCCTGCACCAGTGTGGTTAACAATTTACCTATACCTTCCTGGGACTTTGGGCTCCTGTGCCATTTGGATTAGTGAACCCCTCATTCCATATGAGCCAACGAAGCTCACATTTCTTGTTCATAGCTGTGAACCATCTTTTATAATCAGGAGTGATTTCCATTGTGCCTTGTCCATGTATGTCTTTTCAATCTGAAAATTAATCTTTACTGTCAAAGTTTTGTTTTTTTTTTAATTTTAGCTTAGTACTGAGTTTTTTAACATCTACTTTTTTTCCTCTAAGGTTTTTATTCTATGTTGACATGTTTAAGAGAGTTTATCTTTTCAATGTACTTAAATTGCTTTTAGGAATTGAATGTTTACTATTTATATGAAGGTTTTGTGATCACAAAAACATAAGAATTTTAAAGCATATTTCTAGTTTTTGTTTTTATGCATATAAAAAGTCTATTGGTAGGAATTTGGAGTCTCAAAGATTAGAAGAAGAAAGCATCTAGCAGCAACATCAACTCAATAGCTGGTAATTACAGATCCAAATCTGATATAGGAAACTAGTCTTCTGTAAATCCTGGTAAAGTAACTTCTCCGTTATCTTTACATGAGTAATCTAGAAATACCTCTTCAGTGGAGACCTAAGAGATCTAAGAAAGAAGTGTGTGGAAAGTGTTACATTTTCTCTCCAAAGTTAGTCTCAAGAATTTAGAAAGGTCTTCATTATCTTACTCGTATACGTAATATATCAATGAGAAAATTTAGTTATTTTTGATTCTGGGTTTTTGTTTCTTCTGTTTCTCATATTTGTATTTTATTTTGCTAAAAAATCAATTGTTTTCACTGTGCATCTGATTTTTCCCCCCGATTCTTTATGAAAACATCATAATTAGGAATATTATCATGAGAGTCATTTTGTCATCACAGGTCTTCATCAAAGTAATAGACACAAATGACCATCGCCCTCAATTTTCTACTTCAAAATATGAAGTTGTTATTCCTGAAGACACAGTGCCAGAAACGGAAATTTTACAAATCAGTGCTCTGGATAAGGATGAGAAAAACAAACTGATCTACACTCTGCAGAGTAGTATCGATCCGTTGAGTCTCAAGAAATTTCGTCTTGATCCTGCGACTGGCTCGCTCTATACTTCTGAAAAACTTGACCATGAAGCCATTCACCAGCACGTTCTTACAGTCATGGTACAGCTTTCTGCTCATTCGCCTCCCACCCCACCCGTTGCTTTCTGATGGGTTTTGTGTGTTTGAGAGTGATGATTTTTAATCATTTGTAAGGAAAACCCCAACGGGATTGATAATGGGTTGATTCTTTCAGGTACGAGATCAAGATGTCCCTGTAAAGCGCAACTTTGCAAGGATCGTTGTCAATGTCAGTGACACGAACGATCACGCCCCGTGGTTCACGAGTTCCTCCTACGAAGGGCGGGTTTATGAGTCAGCAGCTGTCGGCTCAGTCGTGTTGCAGGTTACAGCTCTGGACAAGGACAAAGGGAAAAATGCTGAAGTATTGTACTCCATCGAATCAGGTATTTTTGGAGCACTCTATAGATTTCTAACTTGGCACTTGTTAAAAAGTATACTTCTTATCTAAAATTTGTCTAGATGTTGAAACATTTCTGTGTATCACTGTAAAAATTGCTTAAATTGATCTTCAGCTCCCATTTTACGTGTTAGGAGAAAGAGGATTTTTTTCTAAACTTTTAACCCATTAGAAAGCAAAGAGAGTCCTAAGTAAGTTTGGGTTAAGTTCTTGGAGATTCGCAATATTAGCGTAATTCAAGGCTCTGAAAAGTCCTGCAGTAACGAAAACTTTATTTCACCAATTTAGTATTTCCAAAATTGTTTTAACCACACAATGATTTTCCTCCATAATAATCTGTTAATTATGAAACACTATGAGGAAAACACTAGTCTAGTCATTGAATGTTTTACTTTTAGTCAGAGAGTATTTTCTCTTGGGCAGAGCAGGAAATTCCAGGACGCAGTGCTGACTCCTCCAGCTCTAATTGGGTCAGATCTCATAAAGAGGGTGTCATGCCCCTCCTGCCCGTTCCAGGTTTAGATGTTCTGTCCCTTTCACTCCCAAGCACCTTTGACGGTTGTGTTTCATTCGTGGAGCTGGGTTGTTGCAGTAGGCCCCAGGTTGGTGCTAGGCCTTGAGGAAACGCTGAAAAGGCTAAGGGCTCTGCTGCAGTGGGGCCAGAGGCAACAGGGTGAGGAAGCCCAGCTGAAACTATGGGCCTAGACAGTTGTAGGTATGATTTACAGGAGGTCACCTTGCTTTGAGACTTTCCCTCCTTGTGCCAAACACTATGAATAAGTAATTAAATATCAAGAAGGCAGCTTCCATTTTTCCATTTTTCTCGGTGCTCTTGTCACAAAGAATATAGTCTCTTTCATTCTTTTGTTTTTATAATGACTTTAGAGTATTGTGATTGTCCACTTGACTTTTTTTTTAAATAAGTCCATACCTCTGCGTATTGAGAAATTGTGTCTTTCCTGGGCATTAAAATTGGCAGAGGTGTAAATAGAATAAAAAGCTGAGCAAATGGAGAGCAATTTAAAAAAAACAATGCTTAATGTATTTTATGTGGTTAAACTATTTTTATTTCTTAATATATTTGAAGTTTCATTTATTTCCCTGAAAAGGACCAAATTCAGTCCATTGCTCACAAGTAAGATCTCATATACAGCCCGTGTTTGCAGGGTTAAAACGTACTACAGTGTAGTTAGTGCCCTGACGAGATGAAGGTTTTTCCACTGGTTCAGAAATTTAGCTGTTAAAAAAACACAGCATTCCATTTGTGCATGCCTGAGCACTCCAGTAAAATAATTTTCTCATAGACAAACTGACTGGGTCTGTGTAGGAGAAAATGTGAAACTTTCCCTTAGCTTTCACATAATTTTCAACAACTGGGTGGTTAAAATATGACTGTTGGTGCCTCGCTAAAGGCGTGTGCATTCTTTGAATGCTCCCGGTGACTGACGGATTAGTGATTTGGTATTCCAGGAATGGCACTGTATTTCCACTCAAAGAATAGAGAATGCCAAGGGCCTATTCTGATAGAAAACTTAGACTTTGAAGAAGATACTTTTATGGATTTGGTAGTATAAAAATTGTGCTAAGCAATTACTTTATAGGAAATGAGTCCTATTAAAAGGCAGCGGAATTGTGTGTGTGAAAAATCCATTGGAATAGCTGGAACTGTGAAAGGTCATACAGCCTTTCATTTAACAGTTTTGTTTCTAGTCACCTGCTCCTAATTTGTGTCAGATTACATTTAATAAAGTTCAGAAGACTAGTTATAAAAATTCAGGCTGTAACACTGCATGTTTAATTAGCAGCAATTTATTGAGCAAAAGGTTTGGTCTGATGAGGAGTCTTTAGGGAAAAAGGAATTAATTAAAGGATATTTTCAGTAACAATTGAGTTACATGCTTAGAGATAGAACAGCACTATACTCTGGGCTATATGGTGCTTTCTTCTCTTTGTCTTTTGAAAGTACAGATTATTGTGACTTCAAAACTCGTATCGCTAGAAATAGAAGACACTCAGTAAACATACTTAGTGACTAGAATTGGTTTTCTTCCCCAAACTTAGTTTAAATATAGTTGCAGTTGAAACTTGATAGAAATTGCTATACTGTCAGGCAGTCAGCATCTTACTGAGCATCCATAGCGCGTCCATCGTGGGAAGAAGCAGATTCCTGTGCACAGCTCTCCAACGTGCCCTTTGGGGTGTATGTGTGTAATATAGTCGTGGCTAATGAGCACAAATTCACGTGCTTGTCCAGAGAATTGCCTTGTTCAAATAGAGAGAACAATTTCACGCTATTTAGAAACCACCAGTGACCTCCAGCTAAAAGAATGACGAAGCCTGAACCTGTTATATACGTGTCCCACTGCCCTGTTGATTCGTTCATGAATACCATACGTGCGTTTCAGTATTTGGTAAATGTGCCTATTGCTGGATGAGACTGGGGCACGTCCAAGCCACTCAGCAGCCTTCAGTGTGATTCCACATAAACATGCTGTTGCTTTCCCATCTGCAAAGCCAATGGTTTCTGCCTTAGTAGATATGTATGTGGGATCCAGATATTAATTGACTAGTTGGGTTCTTGTTTAACCTTCTGGTTATCAGTGACGAGCTCAGAGCTGTCTTAATCAAAGTCCAGGTACTCCACGTAATAAAGAATGTTTCTGAATTTCACACAACTGATAAGTTTTTTCAGATTCCTAATTAGTACACTTTCCTTTTGCAGATACTTTTATAGGAAGTGCTTAATCTAACAGATGGTTGTTGGTAGTAATAAACATATAAATTCAGAAAAACAAAACCAAATAGAAGTGTAAATATAGTACCTTAATGAATGTATTAATTTTTTTCATGCTGCTCATCAGCCTGTCTGGTATTTAATTCTTTCACTTTTCATACATGTGTAAAAGTCATTTCATTCAACAAATATTTACAGAGTGTCTCCTACGTCTCAAGCATTTTTCTAGGCACAGGTGATAAAATAATGAATAAAACAAGGCATGCTTAAATGGAGCTGATGTTCCAGTGAGAGAACAGATAAAAGAACAAGGTTGTAATACGTGCTATAAAGAAAAAAACGGGACAGAAATAGCCATTCTGAACAGGGAGAGCCAGGAAGACGTCACCATCACATTCTCTAAGCAGGGAGCATTTGGATAAAATGTGAACGAATGGAAAAGCAATGAGAATAGCTGGGGGAAGACTGTTCCAGGAGAGAAACCACCAAATATGGTGGTCTTGAGATGAGAATATGCTTGCCCGACTGAAGAGCAAGGAGGAGGCTGCTGTGGCCAGAGGGCAGGGAGCAAGTCGTGCAGAAAGCAGTATGTTCCGACACCACCAGCCTGTTTCAGTGCAGATAAAATCCATTTGTTCCTCCACTTGAGGGCTTGCATATTGGAAGCTATAAGATTTCACTATACAAAATAAAACAGATGCATATAGATGAATGAATATAATATATGGTAGGTCAGCTGCTTTATTAGTGCAGACATAGGAAAGTCCAAGGGGTGGGGATGAAGACAGTTGTCCAGAGGTTTCCATAGTCTCCTGTATCGGTCCAGGCAATCAGTCAGTTTTGGAAGGTGAGGTGATGCACAGATAGGATGAGAAAGGTCCTTAGAGTTTTGATGGCTGATTAAAACACAGAGAGAATCTGGGATCATTGACTCTCATGGAGACAGGCTGGAAATTAGGGTCTGCACGGCCTGGCAGAGGCAGCAGGACCCCACTTCTGGTCGAGGGTTCAGCTCAAAGCTTTGGGGCCTGGAGAAGGCCTGGGCCTCTGCCCTGTTGTGGCCTGAGGGACTGCCTTGTGGCCTGGATGTAGAGCCAGGCAGACTTAATGAAAACCAGGCAGGGTCTGGCCTCAGAAAAAATCATCATGGAATTTTGGAAAATGTATCAAAGGAAGGAAATGAAGGCTGTAGAGGAAGTGTTTACAAGTAATGATGTGGAGAAAGAAGTGCCTGGTTAATCCCCTGGTTTGCAGATCACGCTAAGCAATTCTGGTCCATGAAATGCCACACTCGATTGCAAACCTTGAGGAAAACGGGATTTGAAAAAGTACTTAAGTGGCAAGTCAACTTTATTTTGGGTAAGTGTAATAGTTCATTTGGGGAAAATCAATTCAATTCTGTGACTAGAATAATGGATTCTGGACTCCTGTTTATAAAACAGAAAAGGGGTGAAGGGTTGATGGATGGAGCCAGTCTGAGGACCCTCACGCTGCCTGGATCTGTCCAAAAAGTTAGTAAACTGCTGAACTGTAGTAAACCGCTGGTTTCTTCAGGAAGATTTCAATCGATGATACAAAGCTATGGAACAGCGTGGAGTTGGCATTTGCGGCTGAGTACATGAATATAATATGTATGGCTGGAAAAGGTCCGAAGGAAAACAAGTGAAACAGTCTATCTTGGAGTAGAGTTTCTCAGCCTCGGCACTATTGACATTTTAGACCAGAAACTTGCTTGTCGTGGGAGCTGTCCTGTGCATTATAGGATATTGAGCAGCATCCCTGAGCTCTCCCCACTAAATGTTAGTAACACCCTCTCCCCCAAAAGTAGTGATAACCCAGATGCCTCCAGATGTAGTTGAATGTCTCCTTCTGGGCAAAATTGCCCCCCGTTGAGAACCACTGACCTAGAGAATAAATCTGAAAAAGATTAAGAAGGGAATATTATTGACATCTTCAAGAGCTGTGAAGTGGGGCAGATTAACCAAGCTTATTCAATCAATTTTCTGAATATGTAAAATAAGGGACAACTCTCTTGAAGCATGTTAAAGTTTTTTAGTTAATTGAAATCTTTCCTAATGAATAAGCATTGTGAGAATTTGCAAGTGATAAATGCTGAAAAAATAAATACGGTCCAAAGGGGTTTTGAGGGACTCTTAGAAAATTATTAACTGCTTTATGAAAGGATCACCATATCCTTCCCCAACACATTGCCGGTTCAGCCCATAGAGAGTGCGTTTGGGCTCTAGGTACAGAGTGATATTTTTTCTGTTTCTTGCTTTTCATAATTGATGAACACAACTCTGAAAAGTCTGATTTATTTTAGGTGGATAAAAATGAAACAAGTTAAAAATGAAACAAGTTCCATTCACATGTTGATAATCCCTGAATTTCTGTTTCATTTCAGAGTATAATCTTTAAAGTTATCTTTATTTCTGCATCTCCAACTACTACTGCTACTGGTCCTTGTATTTTTCTCTAACATGCTTTTTTTTTTCTCCTCCCAGGAAATATTGGACATTCTTTTACAATAGATCCCATCTTGGGTTCTATAAAAACTGCCAAAGAATTAGATCGAAGTAACCAAGTGGAATATGATTTAATGGTCAAAGCTACAGATAAAGGCAGCCCACCAATGAGTGAAATAACTTCTGTGCATATCTTTGTCACCATTGCTGACAATGCCTCTCCGAAGTTTACATCAAAAGAATATTCTGTTGAAATTAGTGAAACTATCAGCGTTGGCAGTTTTGTTGGAATGGTTACAGCCCATAGCCAATCATCAGTGATATATGAAATAAAAGATGGAAATATAGCTGATGCTTTTGATATTAATCCACATTCTGGAAGTATCATCACTCAGAAAGCCCTGGATTTTGAAACTTTGCCCATTTATACACTGATAATACAAGGAACTAACATGGCTGGTTTGTCCACTAATACGACTGTTCTGGTGCATCTACAGGATGAAAATGACAACTCGCCAGTTTTTATGCAGGCAGAATATACAGGACTCATTAGCGAATCAGCTTCAATTAACAGTGTGGTCCTAACAGCCGAGAATGTCCCATTAGTGATTCGAGCGGTTGATGGTGATAAAGAATCAAATGCCTTGCTTGTTTATCACATTGTTGAACCATCTATACACAAATATTTTGCTATTGATTCCAGCACTGGTGCTATTCATACAGTGCTAAGTTTGGACTATGAAGAAACCAGTACTTTTCACTTTACCGTTCAAGTGCATGACATGGGAACACCACGTTTATTTGCTGAATATGCAGCTAATGTGACTATACATGTAATTGACATTAATGACTGCCCTCCTGTGTTCTCCAAGTCATTATATGAAGCATCTCTTTTGTTGCCAACTTACAAAGGAGTAAAAGTCATCACCGTAAATGCCACAGATGCTGATTCAAGCGCATTCTCACAGTTAATGTACTCCATCACCGAAGGCAACATCGGGGAGAAATTTTCTGTGGATTACAGGACTGGTACCATAACTGTGCAAAACACAACTCAGTTAAGGAGCCGCTATGAGTTAACCATGCGAGCTTCTGACGGCAGATTTGCAAGCTTTACCTCTGTGAAAATTAACGTGAAAGAAAGCAAAGAAAGCCAACTAAAGTTTACCCAAGATTTCTACTCTGCAGTAGTGAAGGAGAATTCCACCGAAGCCAGAACATTAGCTGTCATTACTGCTATTGGGAATCCAATCAATGAGCCTTTGTTTTATCAAATCCTCAACCCAGATCGCAGATTTAAGATAAGCCGCACCTCAGGAGTGGTGTCCACCACTGGCGTACCATTTGATCGGGAACAGCAGGAGGCGTTTGATGTGGTGGTGGAAGTGACACAGGAACGGAAGCCTTCAGCAGTGGCCCATGTCGTTGTGAAGGTCATCATAGAAGACCAGAACGATAACGCGCCGGTGTTCGTCAACCTTCCCTACTATGCTGTTGTTAAAGTGGACACCGTGGTGGGCCATGTTATTCGCTATGTCACTGCCGTGGACAGAGACAGCGGCAGGAACGGGGAAGTGCATTATTACCTTAAGGAACATCACGAACACTTTCAAATTGGATCCTCAGGTGAAATTTCACTCAAAAAGCAATTTGAACCTGACACCTTAAACAAAGAATATCTCGTCACAGTGGTCGCCAAAGATGGAGGAAACCCAGCTTTTTCAGCTGAAGTGATCGTTCCAATCACAGTTATGAATAAAGCCATGCCTGTGTTTGAAAAGCCTTTCTATAGTGCAGAGATTCCAGAGAATATCCAGATCCACAGTCCCGTGGTCCACATACAAGCCAACAGTCCAGAAGGGTTGAAAGTGTTCTATAGCATCACAGATGGGGATCCTTTTAGCCAGTTTACTATTAACTTCAACACTGGAGTGATAAATGTCATAGCTCCTCTGGACTTTGAGTCCCACCCAGCATATAAACTGAGCATACGAGCAACTGACTCCTTGACTGGGGCTCATGCTGAAGTGTTTGTTGACATAATAGTAGAAGATATCAATGATAACCCTCCTGTGTTTGTTCAACAGTCTTATGCTGCAACCCTCTCTGAGGCTTCTGTAATTGGAACATCTGTCGTTCAAGTTAAAGCAACAGATTCTGATTCAGAGCCAAATAGAGGAATTTCATACCATATGTTTGGGAATCATAGCAAGAGTCATGATCATTTTCATATAGATAGCAGCACTGGTCTCATTTCACTAGTCAGAACTTTGGATTATGAGCAGTTCCAGCAGCACAAGATTTTTGTAAGGGCTGTTGATAGTGGCATGCCCCCACTGAGCAGTGATGTGATTGTCACAGTGGATGTCACTGACCTCAATGATAATCCACCGCTATTTGACCAACAGATTTATGAAGCCAAAATTAGCGAGCATGCGACTCATGGGCATTTTGTGACCTGTGTAAAAGCCTATGATGCGGACAGTTCAGACATAGACAAATTGGAATATTCCATTCTGTCTGGCAACGATCATAAGAATTTTGTCATTGACAGTGAAACAGGGATTATCACACTCTCAAACCTGCGCCGCCACACCTTGAAGCCATTTTACAGTCTTAACACTTCTGTTTCTGATGGAGTTTTTAGAAGTTCAGCTCAGGTTCATGTAACTGTAATTGGAGGCAATTTGCACAGTCCTGTTTTTCTTCAGAATGAATATGAAGTGGAGCTAGCTGAAAATGCTCCCGTACACACCCTGGTGATTGAGGTTAAAGCAACTGATGGGGATTCTGGTATTTACGGTGACATTACTTACCATATTGTAAATGACTTTGCCAAAGACAGATTTTACACAAATGAGAGAGGTCAGATATTTACTTTGGAAAAACTTGATCGAGAAACCCCAGCAGAGAAAGTAATCTCAGTTCGCTTAATGGCTAAGGATGCTGGAGGAAAAGTTGCTTTCTGCACCATTAATGTCATCCTTACAGATGACAATGATAATGCACCACAATTTCGAGCAACCAAGTATGAAGTGAACATTGGATCCAGTGCTCCCAAAGGGACATCAGTCATTAAAGTTCTTGCCAGTGATGCTGATGAGGGATCCAATGCTGATGTCACCTACGCCATTGAAGCAGATTCTGAAAGTGTTAAAGAGAATTTGGAAATTAACAAACTGTCTGGCATCATTACTACAAAGGAAAGCTTAATTGGCTTAGAAAATGAGTTCTTCACTTTCTTTGTCAGAGCTGTGGATAATGGGTCTCCACCCAAAGAGTCTGTTGTTCCTGTCTATGTTAAAATACTTCCACCGGAAATGCAGCTTCCAAAATTTACAGAGCCATTTTATACCTATACAGTTCCAGAAGACATGCCTATTGGAACGGAGATAGATCTCATCCGAGCAGAACATCGTGGCACTGTTCTTTACAGCCTAATCAAAGGGAATACTCCCGAAAGTAACAGGGATGAGTTCTTTGTGATCGACAGACAGAGTGGGAGACTGAAACTGGAGAAGAGTCTTGATCATGAGACCACCAAGTGGTATCAGTTTTCCATCCTTGCCAGGTGCACTCACGATGACTCTGAGGTGGTGGCCTCTGTGGATGTCAGTATCCAAGTGAAAGATGCAAATGATAACAGCCCTGTCGTGGAGTCTAATCCATATGAGGCATTTATTGTTGAAAACCTGCCAGGGGGTAGTAGGGTCATCCAGATCAGGGCATCCGATCTGGATTCAGGAACCAATGGCCAAGTTATGTATAGTCTAGATCAGTCACAAAGTGTGGAAGTCCTGGAATCTTTTGCCATTAACATGGAAACAGGCTGGATTACAACCCTAAAGGAGCTGGACCATGAAAAGAGAGACAATTACCAGATTAAAGTGGTCGCATCAGATCATGGGGAAAAGGTTCAGCTGTCCTCCACAGCCATTGTGGATGTCACTGTCACCGATGTCAATGATAGTCCCCCACGGTTCACGGCAGAGATTTATAAAGGGACAGTGAGTGAAGATGACCCACCAGGTGGGGTTATTGCCATCTTAAGTACCACGGATGCTGATTCTGAGGAGATTAACAGACAAGTGACATATTACATAACAGGTAAAAAATTCAAACTAAATGATGTAATTTGAAATTAAATTGTATTAGAAGTATAAATTCGGAGACAACATATTTTATAGAAATTGGGAGTTAAAGGGATGATTTTAGTTAGGTAGAACTAAATAACATCTGCTAAGCTACATTTCAAGTTATTTATCTGAACAAAGCTAACAGTTGTTTTATTAGAGTGTTTTTGATTTTTGTGACTCATTCTATTGAAATTTAGACTTAACATTTAATAAATATAATTAAGAAAAAAATATAGTTTCACTGTAGGCTAAAGTATCATTTAGTAGTCTTTATATTTTATTTGGCTTAGTGCTGTGTTTTAATACACATTTTAATGCTGCTTCGTTTTGGTAAATGGGGAATTTCATATACCAAATTTAAATGTAATTATTTTTTAAAAAACCATAATTCTGGAGCTGGCCCAGTGGTGTAGTGGTTAAGTTCACCCACTCTGCTTTGGCAGCCTGTAGTTCATGGATTTGGATGCCAGGTGCAGATCTGCACACCACTTATCAAGCCATGCTGTGGTGGCATCCCACATACAAAATATGGGAAGATTGGCGTAGATGTCAGCTCAGCGACTGTCTTCCTCAAGCAAAAAGAGGAGGATTGGCAACACATGTTAGCTCAGGGCCAATCTTGCTCACCAAAAAAATTTTTTAAAAAATTGAAAACCATAATTCTTTTAAACCATAACATTATCTTTTGTACAATTTATATTTCCTGTTATTTATTTCTTTCCTTATTTCAACAAATTTGACTCTCGTCTTCCTCCATTGATTTCCTAGGAGGGGATCCCTTGGGGCAGTTCGCTATTGAAAATATACAGAGTGAATGGAAGGTCTATGTTAAGAAACCTCTAGACAGGGAAAAGAGGGACAATTATCTTCTGACTATCACAGCAACTGATGGGACCTTCTCATCAAAAGCTATAGTTGAAGTGAAAGTTCTTGATGCAAATGACAACAGTCCCATTTGTGAGAAGGTAGGCTGCTCTTTCTTTAAATTTATATATTGTGTGTTCAGATTGCTTTCTTAAACCGTTCAATTAGGACTATCATCTGGGGCTTGGTGTAAATCACATATGTTTCATGGTGTAATCTCTTATGTTTAAGCAGAGGTGAGTGTTACGTGGGGCAAGAGTTGGATTAGCTTCACAACTGTTGTGGGAATCATTAAATTGCTTAAAAAGCTCGTGCAACAATACTGTAAATTAGAGACAGGCTGACAGTTGTGTTTAACTCTAAAAATGCCTGTGAAGTTTTCTTGAAGGGATTCCCTCCATTTGGGGCTGAGCGTATTTTGGGGGAACTATGTGGCCAGCACTTCTTTATTACAGACTGCGTTTGGCTTCACAGCCTCTTGCTGGGGCACTTGCTCTTCTACACACTAGAGAAACTGAGAGCTTAACCATGGGGCTCCCACACCTCTGGGGCCACCATCTGAGATGAGAGCAAATAGACCAAAGAAGAGCCATTCCATCAAGGTTGCACAACGAGGACTTGAGCAGGGGTGGTCATGGAGCTCGAGGATGAGGAAGAGCTGAGCCTTCAAGAGGTGGCAGTTAGATAATCGAGTCGAAGTGGAAGGGCAGTGCGGCTTGAGGGTAAACTGGATTGTAGAGGCTGTGACAGTCCATCCAGGGGACGGGAATCTATCCTAGAGAAAATAGGGACTCATTGAGTGCTTTTGTATTTGAAAGATGGAGATGACAGGAACAGAGAGTTCTTTAAGATGAGTTTGGTAGTATTGGGTCCATTTAGATGAGGAAGAATGAAAGCAAGGAAATAACGGAGAGTAGGCAGAGGTGGCAGAAGGAATGAAAGGGCAAGAGACACTACAAAGGAACAACTGGTCCCAGTTGGTCCTGCCGGGAGGTGACAGCACAGCAAGTGTGTTAGGTCAAGATCAACTTTAATGTTTCCTATGGGAGTGACTGAGAGGAAGACCAAAGATAAGCCTGGAGTGGGAATTGGGTTTAGAGGAAGCATGTTGAGTTCCGTTTCAGATTTGTTAGGTTTAAGGTAATGGGACATTGGGTTGAGTGTGTTTTTTAGGCATTTAGAGATGGTGAGATTGAGGGATGGATATTAGGAGAGGCTGTGTCAACTTGGCCGTTGAATGGATAACTGATAATTGAATGCCTTTGAGAGGAAAGTAACAAAAAGAGTGGAGCTAGGTGTTTCCCCAGGGAGAAGGGAGGAGGAAGCAGAGGTGGCAGGAAGAGAAGGCAGACATCAGCGCTGTGTTACTGAGAACGAAGGAGGAGAGAACTTTCAGGAGGCAGCATGGCGAGCAGAACGTGACAGAGCTAGAAAGATGATCCAGATGTGAAACAGAGTGTGGGTTCTGACACTGGCTTGCTGGTGGCGGTCTCCGTATCATGACGTCGGTGGACGCCTGAATGCAGGAGATTAAAGAGTGTGCCTCACGGACATCGATTTGGCCAGTGAAGAGAGTTGAGAGTAAAAGGAAGGAAGAAGAGTGTGGTAGATTAAGGGAAGGCTGGGTAGAGGGGACAGTGATTTTGAAGAGGCACGGAGGAGTTGGAGAACACTGCAGTAGGCAGACGTGTGGTAGCTGGAAAGCAACAGAGCTGTTCTTAGGGAAAAGGACGGTAACGATTCAGTCAGGAGGGAAGTGGAACTGCTGAGGGTTGAGGAGTTAATGCCAATCCACGTTTGTACCTTTTGGTGACAGTATTCTTTTTGAAGGGAGGGATAATTTCTGTGTGGGTGCATATATATGTATAAATACCTTATAGAAACTAAATATGTGTGTTTTGTTTTTTAACACTTTCATATTATTTGGATTTAATACCCTATCATCTTTGGGAATAGTCAGTTCCCAAATACTATTGGGAAATAGTAAATTAGGACACTAGGTCATTGGAAATCATCAGTATTGCAAAATATCCTGTTTCATGAGTCATAAAATGAGGTTCACCTAAAATTGAGCTCATATTAAGAAAATAAACTCAATAAAATCTTGCCTGTTTGTCTTATGTTTCAGTTTATGGCAGAGATTTCTAAATAGTTCGAAGTAGAAGCAACCATTTGTTATGTTGGAGAGTTGGGTCAGATTTGAAGCAAGACAGGATGGAGCAGGGTGATAGAAGAGCCTGGCAGGAGCATCGCTTTCTCCCCCAGCCCCCCTGAGCCCTGGGGAACCTTTGTTTTCTCCCAGACATGAGAGTCACTTCTCTCTCCATTGCAATTATTTGGTTATGTGTTAACGATTGCAAACAATAAATTCTTGTATGAGAAATAAGTAGATATGATATAATAGGTATTTATTCTCTCTGATTTTTGGGTAAATATGGAGCACTAATATTTTCTCATAAGAATTTAAATTAAATATGAAACCAGCTCAAAGGCATAAAGTATTCAGAATACTGTGGGTTAAAGGTCAGGTCGGGCTCTTTCAGGGGTACAGAGTTGTTAACTGTTACATGTCTCCTCGTTTCACATTGTTTTATAAGAAGAATAGTTTTGAAAATGCCTTGGGATTTTATTTTTAGCTATTGCTCATGTTTTCTATAGCCAAGCGAAATGATTTCTTTTCCATTATTCCCTTGGCAGTCGTGTTAACCTTTAATGTTTTCTGTTAACAATATTGTTTAAAATCTTCGTAGACCTTATATTCAGACACGATTCCAGAAGACGCTTTTCCTGGGAAATTGATCCTGCAGGTCTCTGCTACAGACGCAGACATCCGTTCCAACGCTGAAATTACATACACGTTATTTGGTCCAGGTGCAGAAAAATTCAAACTAAATCCAGACACAGGTAACAATGGAGTTTGGGGCAAAATTAATTGTGTTCCAACAAAATGATACGTGGGTGGTTTTAGATCACATACAAAATTTGGAATTACATTTTGTTCTTGTGAAGTTTACTCTAATGCTACAAAATTGGCATCTTTTAGAAATGTGAACAGCAATTTAATGTGTAAAATTTGAGATGAGATAAAAAATTAACAGCAACATCACCTACTTTAAAAGTTTCAAAGGATTTAAAATTTAGTTGTTTATATCAACTCTTTTAAAACAGTTTATTTCAAACTTTCTGCTTTATCCATTTTTAAATATAGCTTATTTTCTTAAACTCATGACCATAAATTTATTTACTTGAGCATATTCATTAAAATGATTAATGGTATTGCATTCATCTTTAAATCACTAGGATTGTTTTCCTCTTATAATTTGTATCTTGTTAAAATTAGGGTCAAATAACAGTTTTCTACTAAGCACCCTGCCAACTAATTGGAACATATGAATCTAATTTTTGAATCAATTAAGAAGATTTTTTTAATTTGGTAGCTATTTTGCTTTTGTGACATTATTTGTAACACAAGAGGCCCAAGCCTCAAGGTCTTTACGACTTAAAGAGCTAGCACCTGGCAGAGTTTGCAAACCTGGAACTCGCCGTGCTCACACACCTGTTGACTCTGTGGTTGATAAAATTGTCCTCCAAAGGAAGGCTGTTACTCAGATTTTGTAATTCTAAGAGAAAAGGAGAAATAAGATGCGCCATTGCAGTTCACATGTTAAAATTTGAAGTGAGTCCCTTTTTTGTTTTTTGGTTTTTAGGTGAGCTGAAAACATTAGTCCCTCTTGATCGCGAGGAGCAAGCAGTTTATAATCTTCTAGTCAAGGCCACAGATGGCGGGGGAAGATTCTGTCAAGCTCATATTGTGCTCACATTAGAAGATGTGAATGATAACGCCCCTGAATTCTCTGCTGATCCCTACACCATTACCGTGTTTGAAAACACGGAGCCTGGGACGCTGTTGACAAGGGTGCAGGCCACTGACGCTGACGCAGGTATGACCTGGAAAAGATGCTTTTGCCTTCAGACTGTGCACCAAGACCTTCAGAATCTCTGTTTTAAAACACATCCCAAATACAGCCTGTTGAATATTTCTCTTACCCTGTGCATATTGAATAACTCAATTGTGTTATTTAATTCCTTAGCATTAAAAATGGAATGAAATCTCTAGAATAATGAATTCATTTGTAATGAGTATTTGAAGTCTCAAAATTCTGCCCAGTGAACTTACTGTTGTAAGGTATCTCTGGTGTCCCTAAAATTCTGATTAGTGACTGTGTTAACTGATCTTTATATCCCATTGAAATAATGAGTGAAGTGTTATTTTGTGAACAAACCGTTAGTGACATAAAGGGATCATAGGAACATAGAAGAAGCAAATGCCATATTGTTATGGTTTTACAAACCTTTCAAAATTTTTATGGAGAAAATAAGGCTCTAGGATATATATTCCTAGCATTTTGATAGCAGAGAATAAAAATAATTTCTTCAGTCACACTGCTACTGAAGAATTAGAAGCATAGCAAAAATGTCACTTTTCAAATAAATCTTTGTCATTGAAGCTAAATAATAAATAGACTTCATTTTAAAAGATCTGCTGGGTATTCTGCATAAGTTTCTGTATAACAGTCTTAAAAAGCCAGATAATTATGAAATTATATTTATATCTGTTTAAACTCAGTAAATTGTTAATCTAAAAGTTTACTTTTTTAAGATCATAGTTACAAGAATTTGTAATGTATATTAGCATGTTTCCGTTTTAATATGCTACATGTTTTTTCAAAAAAAAATAATTTAATTTCTTGAAATAAAAACGTTCTAACGTGATGTCCTGTCTTGACAGGATTGAATCGGAAGATAAGCTACTCTCTGATTAACTCTGCTGATGGGCAGTTCTCCATTAATGAATTATCTGGAATCATTCAGCTAGAAAAGCCTTTGGATAGAGAGGTCCAGGCGGTCTACACCCTTACTTTGAAAGCCGTGGACCACGGTTTGCCAAGGAGGTTGACAGCCGTTGGCACTGTTGTTGTATCAGTTCTGGATATAAATGACAACCCACCCGTGTTTGAGTACCGTGAATATGGTGCCACAGTGTCCGAGGACATTCTCATTGGAACAGAAGTTCTTCAGGTGTATGCGGCAAGCCGGGATATTGAAGCAAATGCAGAAATCACCTACTCAATAATAAGTGGAAATGAACATGGAAAATTCAGCATAGATTCTAAAACAGGTAACCGACCATGGAAATGAGAAGAAACCCTTGGTTCTGCCACAAAGGCCCGATTGCCCGGCACTTTACCTGATACAAAGGGACAGATCGTCCATTGTCAGGAGATGGGTTAAAAAGATAAAACGGAAGTTTTCTTTGAGCTATTATTTTAAGTGGGATTAAGGGTGGTTTAGAAGAACTTTATAGTTCTACATAATAAAATACATTTCTGGCGTATCCATTATATTTGTAAGCAAATTAAATAGAAAATTAAAGTGTCACCCTAGTAATTTAGTAAAGATATAAGATGTGGTAAATTCAGGTAAAGAGTGGAAAGTCATAAAGAGTCTTGCATAATGGCTCCTTTTTATCCCCTATGAGGACCTCATGTGAAGTAACTGCTGCAGTAAAACAATAGTTTCCACCTGTTTCTTCTTAGTCTCGATAGGGCAGGCTGATAACTGATGAAATTGACTTCTTTATTGTGCTGGTTCTGTATAATGGAAGGACGTGGAGTCACACTGACTGAATGATGCCCGCAGGGCCACGTCATTGGAGCTGTTGACTCTTGCTGCATGAATACTTTCATAGTCTTGCTAACCTGTGGTCTAAAATAGCTGTAAGTCTTAGAACATTGTAAGAAGTTGGTCCATTCAAACTGTATTTAATTGTACATGACTATTTCAGATGAAGAGTAGGTGTGTGAAGATGCTATTTTAAAATGTATTTTTAACATGTATCATAAAATTGGTTTTTTGGGGCTCTTTAAGTAGGATGGACTGTAAGGAAGAGAAAAGGGAAGATATTAAAGGAGTTGTTAAACCAAAAAGGGATGTTTTTAATGATGTAAATAAAGAGCTATTCTAGAGATTTTTAAAAAGGATCCACATTTCTGTAAAAGTCTGAGAAGGAAAAAACTAAAAGCCGAAGAGTAGAATTTTTATGCTTTCTTTTTATTTTATTAGATTAGAGAGAAGTCTGTATTAAACTATGATTTAGAAGAGAAGAAACACAATCATTTTTATAGTGAGGATGTAGGCAGTATTGACTGGGAAAGCAATTTAAATATCACAAAAAAAAACCCAAAAATAAAATTAAGAGAGATAAGTAAAGATCCAGGTATGGGCAAATTCAGAATTTTTAATTGTTGAATTAAGAAATTAGAGAGGCCGGCCTGGTAGTGTAGTGATTAAGTTATTGTGCTCTGCTTCGGAGGTCCAGGCTTCACAGGTTTGGATCCCAGGCACAGACATAGCACTGCTCATCAAGCCATGCTGTGGCAGCATCCCACATAAAATAGAGGAAGATTGGCTCAGGTGTTAGATCAGTGACAATCTTCCTCAAGCAAAAAGAGGAAGATTGGCAACAGATGGAACTCGGGGCCAATCTTCCTCACAAATAAAGAAAAAGAAAGAAATTAGAAAACATACATAAATGGTAAGTAAAGTTTTGAAGTGAAAATTAAATTTGTTTAGAAGCGTTGTGTATTTCCATCATAGAAGGAGAAAGTGGTGGCATTTTAAAGTGCTGGAAGTAATTTTGATTTTCTCTACAGGGGCCATATTTATCATTGAGAATCTGGATTATGAAAGCTCTCATGAATATTACCTGACTGTCGAAGCCACTGATGGAGGCACACCTTCATTAAGTGATGTTGCCACCGTAAATGTGAATGTAACCGACATCAACGATAACACCCCAGTCTTCAGCCAAGACACCTACACGGCAGTGATCAGTGAGGATGCTGTTCTTGAGCAGTCCGTCATTACGGTGTGTGCCTTTTCCCCTACGGTTTCTTCTCCAGATGATTGATCCAGTTTTTGTAGTGTGGGCTTACTTGCAAATAAGTTGAAGATATGGAAATGTCTTTTGTTCGCCCAGTCAGTTACTGACTCTGTTATACATAATGGCCTTAACACAGCTAGCTCTGGATGTCAGAAATTTGCTTAATAGACTTCCGTCCCTTCCTTAGCTGTCGCCTAAGCAGGAGTGTGATATTTTCTAGGTTATGGCTGACGATGCCGACGGACCTTCCAACAGCCACATCCACTATTCAATTATAGATGGCAATCAAGGAGGTCCCTTTACCATTGACCCTGCCAGGGGAGAAGTGAAGGTCACCAAACTTCTAGACCGGGAAACCGTAAGTGAAAAAGCTTGGCTTCAGTTGTTCACAAATTAGCACGCAATAAATAGAAGTGCCTGGTACTCAGATCTGCCAGACGTGATGGGAAGTACCAAAAGGGCAGAACCAGCCTGTTCTCAGGAGCTGAGACGCAAGACGCAGACACTTGAAAAGCAATTGCAGTGTGAAAATCTCAAGAGTGTAACAGAGGTGTCTCAAGCTGATAGGAAGTTTGGACAATAAAAGTTTGTCACCAGGAAGAAACTCCCGTCAGCCTCAGCGTTTTGAGGCAGTTCAGGGAACTAGAAGCTGAGGTTTGGGAGACCACAGGTGTTGAGAGAAGGGGATTCCCTGTGAGGAGCTGCATGGAGAAAGGAAGGCACAGGACGTGTTTCGGTAGTTTACTGAGCTGTGCTGGAGTACACTGATCATACAAACAAGTGTGGAGATAAGAGAGAAGGGTGTTTTAGGGACCATTTAGGACCACAGACAAAATCAGGATCAGAGGTTCAGACTTGATGCTGCAGGCACCAGGGAGTTACTGAATACTGGTGAGCCTAGGTATGACATTTCACCGAGACTTTTGAAGATGAGTGCCACAGTAGGTCTCAGTACTGTTCAGAGTAGTGAGTGACCGGGGAGGTAGGAAGACCAATGACAGTGAGTCAGTTGTGAACCAACTAGAGCTTGAATTGGGAAAGTAGCAGTGACAACTGAGTGAAAAGAAAAATGCAGAAACTTCGTAAAGGAAAAATCAGAATCTGCAGAGCTTAGATATGGCTCTCTGTAGAAAGCAGTGATGTCAGAGATGGCTGGATTTTTTATCAGTCTTGCTGTCACTGGGGAGTGCCATTAAAGAGGAGCAGGGAGGTTGTGAGGTCCTAAACTTAGTGCTGGGAGAGGTGGTTGAATTTGTGTTTTGATGATTTTTAGAGGAAAATGGCATATTTAGTAAAATGATTCAGCCAGTATTTGGAGATTTTAGTCAAGCTGAAAAGACTTGAAAGCTGGAAGTATGGATATGGCACATGCCTCTGGAGATGATCTGAGGTATTGGGATAAATGTGACGAAATGAGGAGAAGCAAGCTGTGCTGGAAGTCCATCTGTCCATTCATCCCTCCATCCCTCCATCCCTCCATCCCTCCATCTCTCCATCCCCCCATCTCTCCATCCCCCAATCCCTCCATCCCCCCATCCCTCCATCCCTCCATCCCTCCGTCCCTCCATCCCTCCATCCCCTCATCCCCTCATCCACCCATCCACTCTCACTTACAGACAAGAAGGGAGCTGTCTCAGAGAGTTTGTGAAGGAGAAGTGAAAGAAGCCTTGGTTTGGAGAATTAGAAGGACATTGGTGATAATAAAGAATGTAATTTCAGAGGAATAATGGGTAAATCTAAAATTAGAGTAATTTGGGGAGATAATGATGAGCTAGCTCAATAAAGTCTCAGTTCTTGAATTCCTTAATTCTTTTTTGACCTGTTATTTTTGAGCAGGGAGTCTCCAAACATTTAGGAAGCAAGACTGTTGTGCTTAAAATGGCCATACTGCTGGGCGGAACAACATTTGGTATTTTTCACTGAAGAACGTCTCAGACCCTTTAATATACTAATGTCCTTTATGAGAGAGACTGTGGTGTTTCCCCAGCCAATTGGCCCTTTCTTGTTGGAGCGTCTTGCAGGACTAATAATCTATAGAACGTACGTGGGATTAGCCTGCTTTCTGGCTGCTTCCACCACTCCTTCTGGAAGAGAGAGCTTAACAGGGAACTGCCCTGGAAAACAAGCTATCTCCCTTGATGCAGTTTCTTTTGCAGGAAGTTACAAAGAGAGAATGTTGGGCGATTTAGACAATTGTCTGCAGTCCAAGTATGAAATTGGTGGGGGCGGGTGATCTGAAGTATCCTGAGGCGTTGAAAATGAGTGAGCACTCAAGGGTGGGAACCAGCTTAGTGTCTTACTTGGCTGAGCGTCCCACTTGGGCCTTAGGGAATGTTGCCTGCCCTATTGTTACTAAAGCAGCAGCCTTTGAGATATGTTAACATTTCTTTCTCATCATTTGCATTGCAAGATTTTAAAGTTAGAACACTTTAAGGGAATGAGTACATTTTGAGAGGCATCAGAGAATCGAATCACTGTTGTTAACTTTTTCTGTTGAGTAGCTATCCTCCATTTTGTAGACAGTTATTTGCAGCTGGGGAAATGCCTGGGACACAGCAAATGACGACTGTCATTCAGATCTGCCCTTCCAGGTTGTCAGGAGTGTACTTCTGCTTAAACCTTGTTCTTTGGCCCTGTGAAAATGGACCTGTGTTCTCTTTGTCTTGTCCCCGCAAAGATTTCAGGTTACACGCTCACAGTTCAGGCATCTGATAATGGCAGTCCACCCAGAGTCAACACAACGACTGTGAACATCGATGTGTCTGATGTCAACGACAATGCACCAGTCTTCTCCAAGGGAAACTACAGCATAATTATCCAGGTAGTCTCAGGGTGCTGAAGGCTTCATTGAACACATTCCTTTATGAAATGAGCTCTTTGGCCTCAGTTGTTCATTTGAAATCTTTCTTTTCCAAAGACGGCTATTTAGAAAAACGGGAAGAGTAAACCACAGGGGTCTCCATCAATGTTAAAAAATGAGCATTTGCAAGATGCAGCCAAGCCTTTATCTCTTTTTTGTCTGTGCTTCAGTTAAGACATTCTCACTAGCTTGATTCTTATCTTCTGCTGCCCTTTCCTTTCCTCCTTGCCCACTCTTGACCTTCTCCCTCCCCCTCCCCCCCTTCTTCACTCCTCCGTCTCCCCTCCTCCTCCCCTCCTCTCTCATGCATCTTTTCTTCTCACATATGTCCCCTTCCTCCCCTCCTCCAGCCCCCTCCTTCTCTCTCCTTCCCCCACCCCCTTCTCCGCTCTCTCCTCCCCATCACTACCCTACTCTCCACCTCTCTTCTTCTCCTTCTTCCTTTCAAATGGAGCCTTACTGCTGCCTTACTGAGCCTTGTTATTGTCCATATATTTCATATTATAGAAAACTTGCATGTATCTCTTACCATATAGATTTGGTTTTGTTGAAAGTTGTATGTTTTGTCTTTTTTGGTTTTTTCATTCTGCGCAGGAAAATAAGCCTGTGGGTTTCAGTGTACTCCAGCTGGTAGTCACAGACAAGGATTCTTCTCATAATGGTCCACCCTTCTTCTTTACCATTGTCAGTGGAAATGAGGATGGCGCATTTGACGTTAACCAGCAAGGAGTCCTCCTGACTTCAACTGCCATAAGGAGGAACGTGAAAGATCATTACTTACTGCATGTTAAGGTATGAAATCTTTCTTTATGATTGTGTTGCAGACTCGGAGAAGGGCTGCTTTGATGGTTATTTTCTTGTATGTAAACAGCTTACATTTCATGAGAAAACAGAAATGTATAGAACTGTGGTCTTTCTTATTTATTAGCATACCTCCATTTTTATCCCATTGCACCTTAAGGGGGCTTCTTCATTCATCTGGTTACTTTATCATAGACATTGATGGAGCTAATCTTCAATATGAACTAGTGAAAGGGCCATAAAGAGGTATTTATCCTTTTCTTTGATGTGCTTCTTAATCTGGATAAATAAATATCTAATAATTGGTAATGTTTTAGAACTTAAATAGTGTAAATATGTTTTTATTAAGAAGTTGTAAACAATGACATAGATGAAGGTGATTTTTCTTTTCTTGTAGGTGGCAGATAATGGGAAGCCTCAGTTGTCCTCTTTGACATATATTGACATTAGGGTGATTGAAGAGAGCATCTATCCTCCTGCAATTTTGCCGCTGGAGATTTTCATCACTGCTTTTGGCGAGGAGTACTCCGGAGGAGTCATTGGGAAGATTCATGCAACAGACCAAGATGTGTATGACACATTAACCTACAGTCTTGATCCCCAAATGGACAACCTCTTCTCTGTTTCCAGCACAGGGGGTAAGCTGATAGCTCACAAAAAACTAGATATAGGGCAGTACCTTCTCAATGTCAGTGTAACAGATGGGAAATTTACAACAACGGCTGACATCACGGTGCACATCAGACAAGTAACGCAAGAGATGTTGAACCACACCGTCGCCCTCCGCTTTGCCAACCTCACTCCAGAAGAATTTGTTGGTGACTACTGGCGCAACTTCCAGCGAGCTTTACGGAACATCTTGGGTGTGAGGAAGAACGACATCCAGATTATTAGTTTGCAGCCCTCTGAACCTCACCCACATCTGGATGTCTTACTTTTTGTAGAGAAGTCAGGTAGCGCCCAGGGTTCCACAAAGCAGCTTCTGCACAAGATTAATTCTTCCGTGACTGATATCGAGGAAATCATTGGTGTTAGGATACTGGATGTATTTCAGAAGCTCTGTGCAGGGCTGGATTGCCCGTGGAAGTTCTGTGATGAAAAGTTGTCTGTGGATGAAAATGTCATGTCAACGCATAGCACGGCCAGACTGAGCTTTGTGACCCCCCGCCACCGTAGAACAGCCGTGTGTCTCTGCAAAGGTAACACATAAGTATATGAAAATAGGTGGAACAGATTATTTCATGTACAACCTGTGAAGGCTATACATTAAATCCCATTTTCTTAAAATTCTTATCTCTCCGCTCTTTTTTTTTTTTAAACAAAGAGGGAAGATGCCCATTTGTCCATCATGAATGTGAAGACACTCCGTGCCCTGAGGGCTCTGAATGTGTCACTGATCCCAGAGAGGAGAAATATACCTGTGTCTGCCCAGGTGGCAAGTTTGGCCAGTGCCCAGGTGAGAGTTCAGTGATTCAGCATACTTTTATTTTAAAAAGTCACTTTCAGTGTTTCTTATCTTTTTCTTCTTTGTTGGAATTGAAAAGTATTGTAAAGTATGTTTATTATAACAAGTCAAACATAGAGAATAACAGTAGTAACCTTTCCTTCCTCTGACATAGTAACTCACCCCTGAGTTAGTAGTTGGATGTCCTTTCATCTCTGTCATCAGTGTTCACATAAATATGGAGTTCCGTAGTTATGGATTTATTGCTCTTTTTCTTTCATCTCCTTTCTTTTTTTAAACAAAAACTAAAAACTTACATCTCATATAGTCTCTCCCTCTGGCTTTTTTCCTCTGCTTCACAGTATGTTAAGGGCATCTTCCCAAGTTAGTACACGCAAACCTAATGCTTTTTATTGGCTGTGTAATATTTCTAGCTTGGCTGTACCATTGTTTATTCAACATTTTCCTTATGTATAGAAATTCAGGTTGTTAACGTTTCCTTCTGTTAAAAAAAATTATCGTTATACTTGTATCCTTACCTATAGATGCTTTCATTTCTGTACAGTTGATTCTAAAACTACAATTTTAATTTTTAAATACACCATCATATTAGTTTCCCGAAAAGTTGTACCAGTTTCTGTTTCTTCTGGTCACCTGTGAAGGTCTCACTCCCCCTTCTCTTGCCAATATTGATAGTTTTCAATTAAAAAACAAAGTCCGCCATCTAATGGGCATGAAATGATACCTGATTATTTTAATATGCGTTTCTCTGGCTACTAGTGAAAGTTACCTTTTTATTTGTTCCTTCCTGTTAGTATTTCCTCTCTGTGACTGGCCTGTTCCTATTCTTTGCTTGACTGTGTCTGTGTTGTCTATTTCTTATTTTCAATGTGTGGAGCTCTCTGTGGATTATGAGTATTAACATTATCTGCATTCACTGTCTGTGCATTATTGATGTTTTGATTTGTTTAATAATATCCTGTCATTTTGAAATTTTTTATTTTGTCAGTTCTGCATAATTTTATGTAATAATTTTGGTCTCTGGAGATTGATGTTATTTTCATCTTTTTTGAGGAATGGGGATTGTTTTTATATCTTGCTTGAGAAGGTTTCCCAAACCACCTTGAGGCTATGTAAATAATTTCCTGAATTGTCTTCTAATAATTTTGTATAGAGCATTCTTAAACTTAGATCTCGCATTATCTTAGAATTCATTTCTCTGTGATACACTAGTCTAATTTGTTCTCTTCCAATGGAGATCCAGTTATGCTATGCTGTTTATTAAGAAAACAGACATTTTGAATTGAACTTTATGATGTTATAATCTTAAAAACTTGGATCAGTCTGGCAGGGGGAAATCATACTTTTAAAAATATGCTTAGAGGCCGGCCTGGTGGCATAGTGGTTAAGTTCAGCATGCTCTGCTTCAGCGGCCCAGGTTTGCAGGTTCGGATGATGGGTATGGACCTACACTACTTGTGAAGCCTTGCTGTGGCAGCAACCCATATACAAAATAGAGGAAGATTGGCACAGGTGTTAGCACAGGGCCAGTCTTCCTCACCAAAAAAAAAAAAAAAAAAAAAAGCAAGCTTAAACTTGGTTCTGATTTATTTCTTCTTTGTGATTCACAGGGAGTTCATCTGTAACATTTACTGGAAACAGCTTTGTGAAATATCGTCTCATGGAAAATGAAAACAAATTAGAGATGAAACTGACCATGAGACTCAGAACCTACTCTGCTCATGCAGTTGTGATGTATGCTCGAGGAACTGACTACAGCATCTTGGAGGTACGTTTGCATACCTCACATTGTAGAATAGTCTAAAAATATAAGTCCCAGGGGCCAGCCCTGTGAACGAGTAGTTAAGTTCGCATGCTCTGCTTCAGCACCCCAGGGTTTCACCAGTTCGGATCCTGAGCGTGGCGGACATGGCACCACTCATCGGGCCATGTTGAGGCGGCATCCCACATGCCACAACTAGAGGAACCCACAACAAGATTATACAACCATGTACTGGGGGGATTTGGGGAGAAAAAGCAAAAATATATATATATAAAAATTCCACTTTATGTTCAGATTGTCCATTTTTGGAAAAAATAAAGTAAGTGAAATGGTTGAATTCCACATCTCATTGAATTCCACGGTTCATTGGTACCTATACAAGTTTTAGAGTTTGTGGGGTGGAAAGCTCCTTTTGTTCTGCAGTAACCTAGAGATTTACTTCTGTTTTTTACAAGCATGTTTAGGTACATGTGACGGTTAACATCCAAACTCTAGGTGATATTACATCTTATGAATGATACAGGGATCCTGCATAGGCTTAAAGTGATCAATATCTTGCCTACTTTTTTTTTTTCTTTTAAGCATGGCTCAGTTTTGACTTTTGATGTTACATGATGCTATTTTGAGTTGTTGTTCAGTTAGCAGTTACTTATCAGTCACTTCCATGATGCTTTTTGGATGTGCAGTTGGTGCTTGAACATAAGGTCCCTACAAGGTCCACTTGTGGTATTTGTACAGTGAAGAAATGAGCATGTGTCCTGTAGTACTTGTATGCAAGGCCTTTCTAACTTTTTCCCTTCCATCGCCAAACACACCTCTCCTTCAGAGTTTTGACCAGAGACTGTAACTGAGGATTCTGTGAGAGTAATGTGAACAGTACTTGTTGTTATCCTAGATTCATAATGGAAGACTCCAGTACAAGTTTGACTGTGGAAGTGGCCCCGGAATTGTCTCTGTTCAAAGCATTCAAGTCAATGACGGGCTCTGGCATGCAGTGTCTCTGGAAGTGAATGGAAACTATGCCAGATTGGTTCTAGACCAGGTCCACACTGCATCAGGCACAGCCCCGGGGACTCTGAAGACCCTGAACCTGGATAACCACGTGTTTTTTGGTGGCCACGTTCGTCAGCAAGGCACAAGGCATGGAAGAAGCCCACAAGTTGGCAATGGTTTCAGGGGTTGTATGGACTCCATTTATTTAAATGGACAGGAGCTCCCTTTGAATAACAAACCAAGAAGCTATGCACACATTGAAGAATCGGTGGATGTGTCCCCTGGGTGCCTGTTAACGGCTACAGAAGACTGCTCAAGCAACCCTTGCCAGAACGGAGGCGTTTGTAGTCCGTCACCTACTGGAGGTAGGCTTCACAATCTTACCATTTGTCAAACGTTACACATGTAGGCACTTGAGGGGAAGTTCCCCAAATGTTTTTGTTTTTCCTCTTTATTCAAATAATATTGTCAGGGGCTGGCCGCATGGCCCAGTGGTTAAGTTCGTGCACTCTGCTTCAATGGCCCAGGGTTCGCTGGTTCAGATCCTGGGCGCAGACCTACACACCACTCATCAAGCCACGCTGTGGCAGCATCCCACACAGAAGAACTAGAATGTCTTACGACTAGGATATACAACTATGTCCTGGGGCTCTGGGGAGAGGGAGAAAAAAAGAGGAAGATTGGCAACAGATGTTAGCTCCGGGCCCATCTTCTCACCAAAAAAAGTATACCTTAAAAAATAGTAATAATAATATTGTCAGATATTGGATCAGTGTTGGAACTGAGTGGTATATGTTACATAAAAGCAGAGCAGGGCTTAGAATTCTTCCTAGCAGCTAGGCTGCAGGGAGCAGTTCCTCTGCTTGCTAAGCTCCTGCAGTCACGTTGCATTGTGTTTTCAGATATGTCTCATTCTGCACCGTAAGCACAGACAAGCCACACCTAACTCTGGACTCTTCTTCCAGCCACATAGATGTTGACCCATGGGGATTTAGAGTTGGTACCACTTCCTTCCTCTTGAGTGCCCCCTTTTATCCGACGGCCCAGCACAGAGGGATAAGCTTTTCCAGAGAGCCATGAACCCCTCTGCAGTGTCGCCATAGCTGTCCTGAAGCCCTGGCATGGTGGAGTGCTCTATGGCTTTTGGACCCTGACCCATTTTTTCACTTATCAGTAATAGAAACACAGTTATGAAAATGGCTATCATCGTGCTTGGTACCTAGAGCTTTGTGTAATTAATAGAGCAAAAGTCAAAATACACTTTAATTAAGTGAGATTTCAAAAGATTTGATTTTCTTTTGTTTTCTTTGGAAAGTGTCTATGCATGTTCTCTGCAAAGAGTAAGCCAGGTCATTCCCACAGTAATACTCTGAGCAAAAGTTTATGTTGTGTTCAGATTACATGTGTAAGTTGGGTCAGCAAGGAGACTGTCATTGTATCACTGAGACCAGGAGAGGCATTTTCTTGAAACTATCACGGTGCTGCCATGATCACCGTAGCAGCAGGACGAAGGGAACGTGGCGACCACACACTGCTGCTACAACTCCTAGCCCAGAGAGCCACATCTTTGGCCAAAGAAAATCCCACAGCCATGGCCAACTTCAAAGGAGGCTGGGACATGAGGTCCTCCATCTTCCCCAAAGACAGATAGCTGGAAATAGTCCACCACGCTACTGCCTGTCACAGTGTCCCCGATACAGACAGGCTGACATTTTTGTGCTCCTTTGGACGAATTTGGTGATCACCTTTCTTAAATTTACATGGTAGTATATAGTCTTCAAAGTGTGCCTTCCCATTTATTACTGTCTCCTTTAATCCTGAAACACTGTGAGTTGCAAATACATGGAGATCTTAAGTTATAAGTGTTGTCAATCCATATGGCCACTCCCAGAGAGGACTGAGTTTTCCTGCTCTGTATGCTTGGCCCAATAATCTTGCATCAATTATGATGTACGAAAGTTCATGATGAGTTCTCTCTTTAGTTGTTTGTGTTTGGGTTATACCAGCCGTGGAAGGCTTGTTGATACAGACTTTTCCCCAGACGGACGGAGTGGGAATTGCACTAGTTTTTATAGGTCTTGGAGAACTCAGTCTTCACTTCAAAGGACAAGCCAGTTTCATAAGACCTATTTTTGGAGTTACTGAATGATAGGACTCTTTTGTTCCCTTTTGCTCGTTTAGGTTATTACTGCAAGTGCAGCGCCCTGTACATAGGGACGTATTGTGAGGTGAGCGTCAATCCCTGTTCCTCCAACCCGTGCCTCTATGGTGGCACGTGCATCGTGGACAACGGGGACTTTGTGTGCCAGTGTCGAGGATTGTATACCGGTCAGAGGTACGTATATTTTCCTTAACTTTCATCATCAATCATAGTATTAAAACTTTTTCAGACATGTAATCATGCGTGTAAGAAGTCTACGTTAACATTGGCGCATGTTTTCTGTTTTGTTGCATTTGACTGCAGCAGAAGTACTGGATCCATGCCTATTTTGTCCTTATTCTTCAGGTGCCAGCTTAGTCCCTACTGCAAAGATGAACCCTGTAAAAATGGCGGGACGTGCTTTGACAGCTTGGACGGTGCCGTCTGTCAGTGTGATGCCGGGTTTAGGGGAGACAGGTAACTGCTTTCAGGATTTACACGCGCGCCTCTCTCTGGTGTCGCCTTGATTAGCAGACGCAACACAGCTTCATCAATTTGGACTACGTTGCCTCAGAATTTGATCACAGTAGCTCCTCGGATAATTGATCTTTTCATCTTTAAAATAAAAGAAATATTGAGCAGATGAATATAATATAATGCTTGAAAATCTTAACTTTTATACTTTTGAGATATTATTTATAAACATAGTATGCCTTCTTGCAGGCAGTAAATGGTTGTGGAATGACTGAAATTATTATGTTTTTTAAAGCAGACGCCTGTGGAGTTGTTACCTATTTTCCTTTGAGAGTGATGGTAATGGCTTTTTTTCATGATAGGCTGTTGCTAACGTTTATATAGCATCAAGAAACCTTTTTCAGTTCTCTGATTATCTTTTGTGTCTTTACCATAATCCTAAGGGGTGATGATTTTCAGGGGAGGGGAAATGAGGCATAGAGGCGCCTGCTGCATACAATCAGCTTTCTTTATCTGCGAGTTCTACATCCGCGGCTTCGACCAACTGCGGATTGAAAGGCCCACAGTGGTTGCGTCTGTGCTGAACATGCACAGACATTGTCTTGTCATTATTTCCTAAACAGTACAGTATAACAACTATCTACACAGCATTTATATTGCATTAGGTAGTATTAAATCTAGACATGATTTCAAGTATATGGGAGGATTTGTGTAGGTTATATACAAATACCACACCATTTCAATATAAGGGACTTGAGCATGGATTTTGGTTTCCCCGGGGGGTCCTGGAACCATTCCCCCATGGATACAGCTGTACCTTGAAAGAGGTGGATAAGAGGTTCTAATTCCAGATACCATGTTATCTTAGACTTTCACCAGTTCAGTTCAGTTTCTCAGTGCGCGTTATTTGTAAGTGCTAGTGCTGTGCATTAGAAACGCCTGCCCTCTCAGTCTCGTTAGAGGCTTTGCTGTGAGCTCTTGCAGATATTTGCTTATGGTTTTGTGCTAGTCGTGGTCGTAGTCTTGAATTCTGCATCAGTCACATGGTCTCAGTTCATAAGTCTGCTTTCCTAATTCTCAATTACTTCTCTTAATATCTTTAACAAAAATGTCTCAGTAATCAAAATTGAATGACAGATGTGTATGGGGGATGGCGGGAAGATACATTATGTTAAAGGAGGAGGGTTTGAGAAGCATTAGGTAGATCTGCACAGGTGCACAATATGCCCGTTGCAAAGGCAGGGAAGGGAGTACCGTGTGAACTACGTGTAGGGGTGAGGAGCCGTAGGGGGTAGCATTTTTAAATGGAAAATGGAGTTTTCTTGCCTTTCACATGTCTTATGGAACTCTCCTATTTCCAGACAGGAACGTTTTCTTAGAAGTTTAGTCTAGGCTCTTAGAAGAGGTTACAGCCCACATTTGTCAGGATGCACATTCTAAATTTTTGAATCAGAATTAGAAACAAACTGATGCTTCGCCTATGAGTTGGATGTAGTAATCTGTTGCATCCTAAAATGGCACTTAAATATTGGCTTGATGTAATGTTTATCTCCCAAATGTATAGAATATGGATCCACATGATTAATTACTCCTCAAAAGGTTTTCTGTTGTAGTTTTTGTGGTCGATAGTGTGTTTTTTGGTTGTTATCTATTTGGTTTTGTTTTGGGCATGTCTTATTAAGGAGGAGTTTGGTCTTTAGTCTCTAAGAAATATAGGCCTTGCCTATTCTCACATTGCAGAGGTTTCTCCTTATGCTTGGCTTTCTTGGCAGGTGTCAGAGTGACATTGACGAGTGTGCTGGAAACCCCTGCCGGAACGGGGCCCTTTGTGAGAATACACATGGCTCCTACCACTGTAACTGCAGCCTCGAGTACAGAGGAAAACACTGTGAGGACGCCACTCCCAATCAATACGTGTCGACCCCGTGGAATATCGGGTTGGCGGAAGGCATAGGAATTATTGTTTTTATAACAGGGATATTTTTACTGGTGGTGGTGTTCGTCCTCTGCCGTAAGATGATCAGTCGAAAGAAGAAACACCAGGCGGAACCAGAAGACAAACATTTGGGACCAACCGCCGCTTTCTTGCAAAGACCATATTTTGATTCAAAGCTCAATAAGAACATTTACTCAGACATACCACCCCAGGTGCCTGTCCGGCCTATTTCCTACACTCCCAGCATTCCGAGCGACTCTCGAAACAATCTTGACCGAAATTCCTTTGAAGGGTCTGCTATACCAGAGCATCCCGAATTCAGCACCTTTAACCCCGAGTCCGTGCACGGCCACCGCAAGGCAGTGGCTGTCTGCAGTGTGGCCCCGAACTTGCCTCCCCCGCCTCCCTCCAACTCTCCTTCCGACAGCGACTCCATCCAGAAGCCTAACTGGGACTTCGACTATGACAGTAAGGACGACTATTTGCATCTCGATAAAGTGGCTCTGAGGAAGAAGGAGATTACAGGTTTTGCCAGGGCTTCTGGTGGGTCAGGCGAAAATGTGGAGTCTTGATTAGTGATCAATATGCTCAGACTCCAAAGACCTTTGGTAGGATTTGAAAAACTTCTTCCAATGCCTTGGGCCCTGACTGAGTATCATGGCTGTGATGTGGCTTTTAATTAAGGAATTGAATCGAGTCATGTTCCAATTAATCTGGAAAGATCATTCCATTTTTATAATTGATATGGACTCCCAACTGTAATTTTTTGACCTTTTTATGACAAAAAAATTGGGAAGGCATTTGCACAATAGGGATTTTTAAAAAAACATGGCCAGAAGAACTGACAGTATTTATATTAGTGGCCTGAACATATGTTTGATGCTGTACAAAAGCTAAATGTACCATTTTAAAACAAAATTTTAATTTCCCATATTGCCAAATGATATCCATAGGCAGGTTTATTGAGACTTTCTGTTCTGTGACTCTGCAAGAATATTTGTAGGTTTTTTGTTTTTGGTTTTCAGATGTTTCTCTTTTTTCCTCTCAATTATTCTCTTAGGAAATACATCTCAGGCAGTCTCTGGGTAAATCTGGCTTTGGGTCAGGATACAGCAGTAAACACAGCTGAGTCCTTGCCCTCGTGTAGCTTACTGTTCGTCGTCTCTTCCTTTTAGCGAAAGTAGTCGACCTTGATCCCTGCCTCTCCAAGAAACCCCTAGAAGAGAAGCCTTCCCACCCGTACAGTGCCCGGGAAAGCCTGTCGGAAGTGCAGTCGCTCAGCTCCTTTCAGTCCGAATCGTGCGATGACAATGGTGAGTAGACAGAAGTTTGAGATGCTGTGGTTCGCTTGCTTACTGGTCACGATGCCGTTCACGTGACGTTACGTAATGACGTAGATACGCCTAGTGCCCTGGTTAAATCGCATGACGTCCTCCCCCTTCTCTTTGGACCACTGTTGAACAATGCCTTGTACGTACTTGCATGAAATCTGCTGGGGAAGATCCTTAAAATGTCCTTAATGGCTAAGTATTTGAACTATAGCAACTTGTCAGTGATAGGGAAGAAAATATATTAATGGAAAGATAATGTCTGTCTGATTGGCTGATTTCATATTGACTTGTTTTCTGCAACAGTAAATGTTGTAGAAGTCTTGTGGGTTTTTAAAAAACTCTTGTAACAGCTTCCTTGAGCACACCCTCCCCACACATGCACGCTCACGCTCACACGCCCCCAGGAGGAGATGGGAAAGTCTGAAATGTTCGACTTCAGTCGCACGTTTGGTATTACAAGGTTTTATTTGTCTCTTCCCCCGACCCCCCCCGCGGCCCCAGCTCCCATTTGGATCAGAGCGTACTGACTGAGAACACAGTTTAAGACATTGCTAGTAAGTTTGATTATATTTCTAATGAAGAAAATTTGACCGTGGGATCTTTGATGCCAGTTATGTTTATCTAACTTCCCTAGGGCAAATAGCATTGATAACCAGCTTGGCTGTATTATCATATACCAGTAGAGAAAATTGTCATTATTCAGTAACAGAGTAAAGTGAGTTTTCAGTGGACACTTCCAAGTCTCCGAATTAATTAATTTGACTGTCATGGTGTTTTTTTCATAAAAACGTAATGTGTTTCAACATTTCACGTATTTTATTGGTGGAAAGAAATAACTCACTAATAATTATTTGATTGTTTCTAAATCCTGAGTAATATAGGCCATAATATATTGCAGAGTCTTATTCCAATTCCAAACTAAAGATAGCCATAAGTGTGTTACATTCATTTCTGATATCAAGTATATTGTATATATCATAGAATACCTGTGTTTTTTATTTAGTGATGGAGTATATGAACATAGCTTTGCATATTTACCAACAAGAACAAAAGAGAATTATTTCTTTCATTAGGTTTAATTCTAAAACTGTAGTTAGTGTTGCCAATTTATGTAGTAATTTATATTTTGGTCCCTAAATGCTCTTCATAAATACATTTGAGAATTTTGTCACTATTTTCTTGCTTTTTCTAGCTCTTTTCATTTTTCTCAATACTCTGAAATACTTTTAATAAATTATGGTCAAATTAGTTATGAAAGTTAATTGATAGCTAATACAATATGAGAAGAAAGCATATCCGGAAGTGTTTGTATTTTAACTTTTATCATAATTTTGATCATCATAGAATTGAAATTTATATTAAGAGTCTATACTTATATTTTTAGTTTTGTAAGGCTGTTGTAACAAATGACCACAACGTAGTGGCTTACAGCAAGATAAGTTATTATCTTATCGTTCCGTAGTTTAGAAATCCAATGCGTGTCTCAGGAGGCTAACGTAAATGTGTCAGCAGGGTTGTTTCCTTCTCGAGACTCTTGGGGGAGATTCCTTTTATTACCTTTCCCAGCTTCTAGAGGCTGCCCACATTCCTTGGCTCACGGCTTCTTCCTCCATCTTTCAAAGACAACGTTGCCTCTCGCTGGCCACTCTTCTGTAGTCACAGCTCCCTCCCAACCCCGCCTGGGAAAGAGTCTCCCCTTTTAGGATCTTGGTGATTACACTGGGCCCACGCTGATAATGGAGGAACATCTCTCCATCTTGGGGTCTTTAACTTAATCACACCGAAGTCCCTTTTCCCAAGGGTGGTAACATATTCACAGGTTCCCAGGATTTAGGATATGGACATCTTTGAGGACCATCTGTCTGCCTACTACACGCGTACTTATTTATCTTGGCATAGATGCTTTAACAATCTGATACACAATGAAAAGGGAATTTACGCAGAAGACAGCCAGGCAGACAGTCTGCATTCCTCTGCTGGTGTGTTAGCTCGCCAGCTATTAGCCTGTCTGCAAAACGACAAGAAATTTGGGGTGGAAGTACCTAGAATAGAGACAAAGCCCTTTTTGTGTTTATAGTACATATTTTACCTTATTATGTAGCTCTTAAATTTCTGTTTTCTGGGAACAAGGTGCAGCTTCATTAATTGGACCCAGAAAATTGGCTTAGCAAGTATTTTACTCTTAATTATGAAGTCTTTTGCTCAGAATTGTTTTGTCATGAGTTGATCCATAATCATAATTGTGAAAAAACTTATAGCTAGAAAAAAATTTCCAAAATTACGACATCGTATGGTTACTTTATTCCTTTGAATAATAATAAGAGCTATGTAGCTTGATTAGAGAAATCTTTGAGATATATAACAGAAAGAGTGCAGGGCTCATGCATAATTATACTATGTAGTTATGTTCAAGTATTCATTTCTCTTTTTAAATTCTAAGGTAGAAATTATATAATATAAAGAAATCCTATTGAATGCATTGTTTTCTAAGTGAAGATTTTCCTAATTTACTCCTTTTGTACCTTTTTACAAGCTTCCATAGTGACTGTAATCCACCTTGTCAATGCTGTAGTTGACACGGTGAATAAAGAAGGTACAGTCCTGATGTGTGTGCTTGTGTTGTGTTCACAGTGACCGTGTCACAAGTTTGGTCTGCTTTTGCCTCTTGTGTTATAAACAATCATTTGTGGTTTTGAGGAAACTGAGTACTTTTGTGCAGGTGTGCATCTTCATAATCCAGATACATTGCAAAGATGTTTTCATGTATGTTTTGTCTTTTTGTTGCTTTTAGCCATTCATGGTGAGTTTACACACACATCAGAAGTCACCCGTAGGATCTTGACAACTTGCCTTTACATGGCACAATATTAAGACGTTTAGAAGCAATTCCAACTATCTAAAAGAAATTTTTAATATCAAAAATCCTCTTCGTATGAATAAGGCTAAATAACACACAGCTTTTATAATTACCTCTAGCTGACTTCACTTTTGGCTTTCCCTGAGCATGATCTAGGAAAATGGTACAGTTGGCAGAAGGCATATTTTCCTATTTGTTTTAGTGAGAATCATTTCATAGGAAGCTTTATGTCTCTGTTCAAAATTATAAGAAAGGGTGCTGACCGCCTCCCTTCACGTATTTTAGTTGGCCCCTTATTGGCGCGCTGACCTGAGTGATGGCGTGCGAACTGCACAGGTAGTAGTTTGCAAACTGTAAGTCAGGCCTCCGGGGACGGCTTGTTAAAAGCCTCATTGCTCGGCCCAGCCCCAAAGTTTCTGATCGAGTAGGTCTGGGTTGGGCCCTGAGAATCAGCTTTTCTAAAAGTTTCCAGGTAACCCTGATGTTACTGGTCGTGGGATCCTGCTTTGAGAACTCCAGGCACAGACCGTCAGGAGTGCCTACGGCTTAGGGGACCCTCTTTGCGAGGACACTCATTGTCAGGGTTGCAGTGAGAAGAAGGGTGGTTTGGTGCCAGGTTTGACGGGGTCGGCGGGGGTAGACTTCAGTGTACTGATGAGACGCACACTTATTCTCCTAAGAACAAGTATCGGCTCTCTGCTTGGTGAATCGGAAAGTAATCTGTCTTTTGTCGAGTGAATTTTAGTTTTAACGTGATGAGATTCTAATATTTTAAATATTGATGGAGTTTAAAGAAACAGGATTTAAATAGTTCTTTCATTGCAGTCTCCTTCATTGAAAAATATTTGTTGGCCTATCTGAGAAATGGAAATTGACTTTAAAGCTGAACACTGGCTTAAATTTTAAGAATTCTCGAGTGCCTATTTAGTAAAAAAGGTTGTCAGTCCTCTCTTTAAAAAGGAATTTCTACATTTTTAGTAGACTTTGAATTAAAATTCTATAGATACATGTTAACTTAAATACTGGCTCATTCGTTTTTTTAGAATCACCACAGTCTTTTCAGGTTTTGGTTTAAATTCCTAGAAGAGAAGCAGCAATGAAACCTTATTTGTTCCAAATGACTGAATTACCTCAGTTTTCCAGAACATTGTAGGATGCAGAGAAAGTGTTGGCCTTGTTTAGGAAGTCACTGAAGTGACTCTATTTGCTCCGTGATGACTGTTTTCACAATAAGACAAGTCGATGATAGCTGACAGTTAGTACTGCACCAGTGTTATCTGATTTAATCCTCGTAGTAACGCTAACAGATTCCCACCCCTGTTTCAAAGATGAGAACCTGAAGCTTAGCCAGGGGAAGCAGCCTACCCAGGCTCATATGATTCACATCTGCTTTCTCTGACTTGCTGCTGGAGTTCTGTGGATAAAAGGAGAACCCTGTGGCCGGCCCAGTGGCATAGTGGTTAAGTTTGCACTCTCCACTTCAGCGGCTCGGGGTTCACCAGTTTGCATCCCGGGTACGGACCTACACACCACTCATCAAGCCATGCTGTGGCAGCATCCCACATGGAAGAACTAGAAAGACTCACAGCTAGGATATACAACTGTGTACTAGGGCTTTGGGGAGGGAAAAAAAGAGGAAGATTGGCAGTAGATGTTAGCTCAGGGCCAATCTTCCTCACCAAAAAAACATACCTTAAAAAAAAAAAAGAACCCTGCAAGAGAGTGATTACAGATGTAGGGTGGGGTGGGGAAAAGTACAGCTAATGGTCTCCAAGGGAAGGTGAACAATGTAAACAGAAAATCATATTCAAAATGGGCAGAGTTTGGAGAAATGTTTAGTTATTTATAAGTCTCTTAAGTTCATTCGTGAATTTCTGGTGTAATGCACATTTGAAGGCTATAATGTGCTGTAAAGTCTGTGCGTGTTGTGTAGCTTTAGATGTATTTGGATTATTACCTAAGTAACCTGGTGCTACCAAGTCTTAGGAAAAAAATGATTTCATAATATTTCTCAGTGACATGAAGGTGTAATTTAAATTCCTTATCAATTTACATTTCATTAGAGCCTGTCGACTTTATTTTAATTATTCCTAACAGAATTTTGTGTTTTCAGGTTTAGATTGCCAGAGACGAAAAAAAAGCTAAAAAAAAAAGCTGGTTTCCTGGCAATGTCTCTAGTTCATGGTCAGTCATCTTTTTCCTCCACTCCATGTCCCATTGTATTTGTGCTACGTAAATTTCTTGCCCATTTGGAATTTCCGTAGCTGATGTCTTAAAGGCGTGGTCCACGGCTGACTGGGCCTTTGTACGCAGTTTCGATTGTATTATGTACTTATCTTTGTTGCCTTTTCGGCCGTCTCTCTGTTTTAATTATCAATGTTTTCTTTTTTCTCTACTCTGCCACCAAAAAGAGTCTTTGGCTGCTCCTGACCTCAGCAAATCCAGAGGTGACTTATGCATGCCAGTTGTTCATTGACACTCACTAAAAATCAGTGCTCAAGATTTGCCCCCAGTGCTGACTTGCCCTCACCCGTTTGCTCCGTGGATGCCACAGTAACTAAGTACATGGCTGTTTGTGCTCCGCATTCTAAACACGGATTGCCTTGCCTTTTCCTGTCTGTCAAAGGATTTCAAAAATCCTAAGGGGGGGGGGGAACTATCCCCACATTGGGAGGTTTTTTTTTTCTTAATAGCTATACTTTTATATAGTCTAACATGATCCTTAGTCCTTTTAAAAGTAACAAAGATTGATTGTTGTAGTCTTATCAAAAACTGTATTATATTTTTCAATGTTTGATTGCATTTTGCTTGATCTGGAGGCATGCTTTGATATATACCGGTATTAACACAATTCATTGTTTTCTATAGGGCTAATGAATTATAGCACAATTTTTAATACTAAGCTTGTTAGATTATTATAAAGGAAATTGACTTAAAAATTTAGCATGATAAGATTACTTGTATTGTTTTAAAGTGTTGCATTAATTAGTATTTTTTTAATGATACGTAGTGCAGATCAAGGGGCATTTGATATTTCTCTGTTAAATAGAGACTTTTCCTTTCTGAAAGGAGAAAACTTTACAGATGTCCTAAGATTGAGCGCTAATACTCTTCTTCCTGTAGAACAGTGGGTTCTAAATTACGGAAGGAAAGCTGAAAGGATGATTGGAATCATTTGTAGAAAAGTGCATGTCTTGTGGATGCTCGCATTACTGCTTCTGTTAAAACTCGTCTTGTTTCCTTGAATGTTAGGTATTTACGTAAAACTCTAAGTCCACATTTTAGAAATAGAGCCTAGTTCAGAGAGGTTCTAAAGCTGGGTCGGGGTGGGAGTGGATGTCTTCAAAGCAGAGACCAAAGGTTTCCAAAATGATGAACCTCTGTGTGTGTGTGAATGCCTTTCCACCTTTGTGTGTTTGACACGCTGAGCTCTGTTCCATGGCGCAGATGCTTGGGAGAACACACGTTGAAATCTCTTGTTTTCTTTCCCACCAAGGGTACCACTGGGATACATCGGACTGGATGCCAAGTGTTCCTCTGCCGGATATACAGGAATTCCCCAATTACGAGGTGATTGACGAACAGACACCGCTGTACTCAGCAGATCCAAATGCCATCGATACAGACTATTACCCTGGAGGCTACGACATCGAAAGCGATTTCCCACCACCCCCAGAAGACTTCCCCGCCCCTGACGAACTCCCACCCTTACCTCCGGAATTCAGTGATCAGTTCGAATCCATACACCCTCCCAGAGACATGCCTGCTGCAGGTAGTTTGGGTTCTTCCTCGAGAAACCGGCAGAGGTTCCACTTGAATCAGTACCTGCCCAACTTCTATCCCGGCGACATGTCTGAACCTCACAAAGCAGGCGCCAGCGAGACTGGTCCTTGTAGAGAACCCTATGCCCCTTACCCTCCAGGGTATCAAAGAAACTTTGACGCCCCCACTGTAGAAAACATGCCCATGTCTGTGTACGCCTCCACAGCTTCCTGCTCTGATGTGTCAGCCTGCTGTGAAGTGGAGTCTGAGGTCATGATGAGTGACTATGAAAGTGGAGACGATGGCCACTTTGAAGAGGTGACAATTCCTCCGCTAGATTCGCAACAACACACGCAAGTCTGACGCTCAGACTCCCCCCAAAGTGCCTGGACTTTAATGAACTTAGAGATTCTATAAATGACCTTCTGCATTGTTCTCTGCAGCCGAGCTTAAGCGCTTCTTTTCGGTGAGCTAAAATGGGCATGGCTGCACTGAATCTCGCGCTTTCTGACATGTTAGCCATTTCCAATGTCCTAACCTACTGTACTTGGATGAGACTGACGTTGGCTGTGCCATTTCTGAACATCTTTTTGTATTGCCATTTGTCTGTGTTAAAATAATGCAACGAAAATCAGTCCTACCATCTTGTTATATAGATTTGATTATTTTCATTTTCCTGTCTTTTTCCCTTTTTTTTTGTAAATTTTATGTACAGATTTGATTTTCATAGCTTTAACTAGATTTTCAAGATATTTCGTGCATTTGTTCATGACCGAATTTTAGTGGTGTTGGTGTCACTAGCTAGCACCCTGATTTTTTTTAATATAACCAGGGTTTCACTCTCTGTTCTTTTCCACTGAAGTATGACATTTCATTAATACATTTCAATATAGTCATTTGTTTGAGCTGTACATAGGATGCGGAACAATCTGATACATGGACATGTCTTAAATGGGTTGCTGTATTTTAGAATTATAAACATTTTTCATTATTGGAAAGTGTAATGGGGACCTTCTGCATACCTGTTTAGAACCAAACACCACGACACAGTTTTTATAGTGTCTGTATATTTGTGATGCAATGGTCTTGTAAAGGTTTTTACTGAAAACTACCATTAGCCAGTCTTTCTTACTGACAATAAATTATTAATAAAATACTTCAGCTTTATTGCATATTTTTCCTCCATATTTATACTCCTATTCAGGATTCAGTTAATGAATTGAGAAAGAAGGATGGATGGATGGATGAATGGAAAGATGGATATAGATATAACTTTTTGTGGCTTAAATATCAAAAGTCTACGGTTAGCCAAACCAGGCTCTCCTTACTCATGTAGCCACTAGGTGGCAGTCTGTGGCTGCTTGATACTGCCTAGAACTATAGGCATAAAGGGAAACAGCACTCTTCCATATAATAAATATTTCCTAACTAAAACTTCAAGAAAATTTACCTTATGTGTTTTTTTATTTGATTGCTATCTCTTGCCAACAATTTAAATGCTTTTACTGTTCTCACCCATGATTTATATGGAAAACAAAGTCTTTTATCTTTCTGTTTTCAAAAAACATGTCATACTTCTAGATGAGTTCGTGTGAAATTCAGAAGCTGTTTTACAAGGGTATTTATACGGTCAAAATCCATCCATCCACCCAACAAATATTTGTCCAGTACCTACTATGTGCCAGTCACTGTGATAGGAATTACAGAGAATCAAGCGTTTTCAGGACTTTGAAAAGCCACTTTTTCCCTGTCAGTAAATGCCTTCTTTATTTTGTCAAATGATGTATATACACAGTTGAAACATCAAAGAGAGCTAAAATACGTATAACAAAAACCAGCAACTCGTGCACTCTACTGTCACCACTTACAACGCTTTACGCTATTGTTTATCATTTTTCCTTTCATATTTTAAGTGTGCATGTTATTTCTTGAGTCACTAATTTTAGGAATTGCACATTGGCTCTGTGTGATGACAGAGGAAGACCGTATGAGCTAACACACCTCCATTACTCTTGTCCTCCCGTTAGTTACATCATAATTTGGGGGTTCATCCCTATATAGTGTTTCCATTGTTTTGATGATGTAAATTTTTACTGAGCTAAGTAGGATCTGATGTCTATTTCATCTACTTTGCAATTTCTCTTTTTCTTCAACAGTTCCCTTAATTTTTTTTCTTTTATTTATTTTTAAAAATGTGTGACTGTTTCGGGAATTTATTCAAAAAATATTTTTGGTTACCTGGCATGTATTTGCTTATGTGAACAAACTGACAAAAATTCCCCACCTTCTTGGGTTTTTACATGGTGGGGAGGGCAGGTGGCAAGAGGAGATGGTCAATAAATAAAATAAGTAAATAAATTATACACCAGTGGTGAGTACTAAGGAAGAGATTGGCATTTGGGAAGGAATGTGTGTGATGGGACAGGGGTGGGAGGTTAAAATTTCCACAAGGCGGAAGACCTCCATGACAAGCTGGCATTTGAATAAAAACCTGCAGTTGTTAAGGGAGAATGCCATGTGGCCACCTGGGGAATGGGCATTTCAGGCAGAGAGACTAGCTAGCATAAGGGCCCCAAGGCTGGAAAGTCGAAGAAAGGAGGGCAGACAGGGTGGCCTCCACAGATTTGTAAAATGCCTCTTAGTCCGTGGTCAAAACTATTAGACAATCCTTACCCATAGCTATAGGTCTTTTCTTTAGAGAATCTCAGTTTCTCCAAAGGAGGGACCTCCCATTTCCTGCTTGGGAAGTATTGTTGCTCTTCTTAGCAAGTCAGCTAGATAAGAGGACTGGCAATTTTATCACACACTTAGTCCCCCAGATCTTGGATATGGGAACATTCCTGCTCGCTTCTCTTTGCCTATTGTCGCCAGATCTCAGGATAGAGCTCAGATTCTGGGGTCTCACAACTCGTATGCAACTAAAACAGACGGTGCCCCTGATACTGACGCCATTCGGCGCCCGCTTTCCAGTGTGGGTGACAAATTGTTGCAGTTGCCCCCCCACCCCCCGGCTATGAGGTCTGATCCCTTCCTGCTGAGGCGTGATTCTCATCCTCCACCAGCTGTCCATCTTCACATGCTATAGAGTGGTTTAGAGTTGACAAACCTCTTACTGGCATTGGAAATGGAGTTACTTTTTGACTTTTTCCCCTTTCCCTGTTTTGAATTTTCAAGAGAAGAAATTGAGCAGAAATAGAGTACTCTGCCATCTTAAGCTGGAAGTCTGGAATATGCTCTTAACCACTGATTCCAGTGTTTAGAAGGACATTGACATGTTAACTTTTCTGTTGCTCCATAGCAAATTACCATAAACTTAGTGGTCTGTAGGTCAGAAGCCCAGGTGTGGCATGGCTAGGTTCATTGCCAAGAGACTCACTAGGCTGAAAACCAGTTGTCACCTGGGCTGTGGTCTCACCTGAGGCTTGGTGTCCTCGTCCAGGCTCACATGGTTGCTGGCAGAATCCAGTTCCTTGGGGTTGTAGAACTGAGGTCGCCACTTTCTTTTTTTGGGGGGGAAGATTAGCCCTGAGCTAACGTCCGCCAGCCACCAATCCTCCTCTTTTTTGCTGAGGAAGACTGGCCCTGAGCCAACATCTGTGCCCATCTTCCTCTATTTTGTATGTTGGACAACTGCTGCAGCATGGTTTGATAAGTGTGCTAGGTCTGTGGCCAGCATCTGAGCTAGCAAACCCCAGGCTGCTGAAGCAGAGAGTGTGAACTTAACCCTACACCACAGGGCTGGCCCCAAGGTCCCCATTTTCTTGCTAGCTGTAGAACTGAGTTTCTACTTTCTCACTAGCTACCCTGCTGTCCTGACAGCTTCTAACTCATGTTCTAGCTACGTGGCCTTTCGCAACATGGTGGCTTACGTCTTCAAAGCCAGAGGAAGAATTTCCCTCATGTTCCCAAGCTCTCTGACCTCAGGAAGGGCCCATTCCTCTTTTAAGGACTCACCTGATTAGGTCAGGCCTACTCAGGATAATCTCCCTTTTAATTAACTAAAAGTCCACTGGTTAGTAACCTAATCATGGAAATTCCCATCGTGTTCATGAGTCTCATCCACACTGAAAGGGAGAATTTATACTATGTACCCAAGAGGGTGGGGTTCCTGGGGGCCATTTTAGAAGTCTGCCTACCACAAATATCTCTATTTGGTGGTGGTTTTGTTTTTACAATACTTTGACCTTCTAAAATATCGTACAGGGCCCGGCTCCATGGCCGAGTGGTTAAGTTCGCGTGCTCCGCAGCAGCAACCCAGGGTTTCGCTGGTTCTGATCCTGGACACGGACGTGGCACCACTCGTCAGGCTATGTTGAGGCGGCGTCCTGCATGCCACAACTAGAAGGACCCACAACTAAAAATATACAACTATGTGCAGGGGATGATTTGGGGAGGAAAAAAAGCAAAGAAAAAAAAAAAGGTTGGCAACAGTTGTCAGCTCAGGTGCCAATCTAAAAAAAAAGAAAGTCCTAAAAAAGATAAAATATATAGACCACGTTTTAAACTGAAGACTATTTACATTTTATTTTATTAAATATATACCATCATCTTGAACTAATTGGAAATGACTAAACACTTTACCTTAGGTCTCAAAACAATTGCCTTGACATAAAACAAACTACATGAATTAGCATTGAACAATTTCACTGCAGAAAAATCCAAGCAACCATATAGAACTAGCATTTGCTTGTCACTTTTTTTTTCCTAAAGACCTTTTATCCCCATATCTCTTGATAGGCAGAAGTCAGGGGCTGTCAATTTCCCCCTGACTGGATTTCATTTTGACTGTTTGCTTGATGTGCACTTAAAATTCCTTAGAAAACTCAGGTGCCTTAGAAAATTCCAGTGCTGCTTCGGTGTTTTTGGACACTGCTAAAATGTCGTATTCGCCTGGATTCTGTGTTTTGTCTTTTTTTAGTCGTATATTTGTATTTGAAGACCACTTGCCGTTTGTCAGTCTTTGCTACCCTTGGAAATTATGGTTCAATTTAAAAGGAAAGAGATTGACAGGTTAAATATCCATTGGAAAAAAAATGCTAGTAAGAAAATTTGGAACTTTGAAATTGAGATTTCTGATTTCATTTATTTTTTCTTAAATCTACCTCTAAAATTTAGATTTGTGTGTGTGCATGTGTGATGGGAAGAGTAGATTTACTTTAGATGATTGTACTTGTAACATCATTTTTTATCCCAGAGCGTGTGAGGCTGTCATTCTAATCTGCTGAAAAGTCAGAGAGATGCTTTCTTAGTGCCGAAAGACATCATGGACCTTTCCAGAAGCTGCATTAGCATTTTGGGGTTGCTTTTAACTTGTGAAAACAGGAAACTGGGCACCTAAGTTTTCATAGACCTTCCCAAAGAAAGTAAACATTAGTCTAGGAAATGGGGGAGTAATTCTAATTACGTGGCGATTGGAGAAGGGTGCACCCGGGACCCTCACTATTAATATGAGTAATATGAATTCAAAAGCTTTTCTTTGCTCCTTTTAATGAAAATGCTAGATTAAGCTGCAGGCAATCATTACTTTGACTTGCCAAAATGACTCTTCATAGGATTTTGCCTGGTGTTAACTTACTGGTAATCAAGACACAAATTGTCAGGTTATCGACAGAGATTAGGAGAGCTTTGGCTATTTGAGATCTTTTCCTTGTGATGTCTGAGTGTAGGGAAACGCAGCCACGGGAAGGAGGAGGGCAGGGGTGTGTGACCTGTACCAGGCAGAGGCCACTCTGCGCGGTACTGCGAACCTCCTATTTCAAGGGAGCTTTCATGAGTGGCGCGTGAGTAACTTGATGACCGTGATAACATGGTCATGAGAAAGCATGGCTGCTTGTTAAAATCGGTGGCAAATTACCACAAGAACATTGCCGAAAGAGAGCTCCTGCTCTCATATAACCTATTGGCGTGCATCAAGCTAGAAGGTTTATTCAAGCGCCAGTCTAATAAATACCCATTGAACTTCCACTGCGCGCCAGACACTGCCAGGCTCCAGAGACACTCACTGATGTCTCTTTTCTTGGTTTCCTCTGATAATCCTGGGATCATTCTCTTATAAAGCAGAATGGTTCAAATTTTTTTCATGTTTTCAGACATCTAAACATAGCATTATAAGAGATCGGACGTAATGATTAATAAGTTCCGAGAGAGAGAAACACCAGCTT